TCATCAACTAATCCTGCGAAAGGATGTACGACGAGAGATGTTCCCATAATAATCAGAAGATCACATTTGGGAAAATCCTGGAAATATTTCATTTATTGACTTTTCGAATAATAAGCATGAAAATGTTTATGATCAACTAATTCCGGCCTTTTCTAACTACATTTGGTATCAAGTGGACAGCAACTTTTACACAACCTGTCTACTTCATACTTTCTAAAAGATACTCTGATTGAGTAATTGAAAAATCGTGCAGGAAGATTTTCGCCAAAAAATACGATATCTGGCTTAACGATTCCACCACACTTATCGCAGTGTGCTACTTTGACATGTTCCACAAATACTTTATCTGAAAAAGTTACGGAAATGGATTTTTCATTCAGTTCTACCGTTCGGGAAATACTTGCAAAGTATATTATACTTCAGTGATATCTCTTGCAAACGAAACTTTCAATGACAATTGAAACTAAATGGCCGGAACTAAATAACACCTCTACTCCTCAGTATAATTGTATTTTAACTTTAAATCCTACTTCCAATTATTATCCCATTATAGTCATCATATCAAATGATTTGCAGATATGCAACATTTATGTAGAAGTACTCACTCATTATCCAATTCAAATCAAATTTTGCACGACATGATAAACAAGTGCTTGTGTGATGACATCCATGGGCTGTCACCAACTTATCTTCATTGATGCCTGTCACAAATTCTAAGGAATCAATATTCTGAAAACAAATATAATTCTTTGAATAAATAAATGAGAATAAAAAACGGTATATTTCCTCGATTCTTCTTGGAATATTTGCTTTATTCCTCTGCTTAAAAATGACTTTTATCCACTTTATTTAGCTATGGCAGTTATCCGTAAGAAAAAATCCTCATAAGCATCCTAAGATCCAAAGATCAAGTCAATAAGCGTGCTAATTGCGCTTATGTGTTCGTTTGTGAAGAAAGCCGAAAGCAGAAGAAACATAATAAGTAATGAAGACAAACACATATGCTTGCCATTTGGTGATTCTCATTAATTAAAACGAAAGAATTAAGACAAAAGTTTGCTTAAGAATACAATGCACAGGATTTTTTTATTAATTTCATGCTAGTTGCAATGTAACATACCTGCGTGTACCACCTTAACAGCAAACCTTTTTCATCCATTAGACGAATCAAATAATGACAAGGAGTAGGCTGAAAACATAGAAATTACTTTAGTGTGATAGTTTTTCCAAAATTTCGCTTGTTATACGCCCAAAACATCATTTTATGATAAATGATATTTCTTTGAACCAATCATTAAGCAAACAAAAATTTCGATTCCTTAGTGTTCATAATAGAAATGAAAATTCCTGATTTCTTCTTGTTTTTTTAGATTTGCAAAAGCTTCACCTTCAAATGTGATGGGAACAAATCTTTTGCTAATTTGTAAAATGGTTCAGGATGTTTCTTGAAATAGGAAATATCAAAAATAGCCATTGGGTCCGGCAAATTGTACTGTGATAGATTATCATATAAGCCAGTACCTGAATTTCAAAAAATTTTAAATTTGAAACATGTACAATCCATAAATTGTCACTCTTTTCTAAGAGTAAGACGTTTAGTGATAGAAATAATAATTGCTTACTAAATGAACGCAATACAGAAAACTATAAAGTGGCACTATCAAATAAACTTAAGGTATCCTTTGTAAAATATTAAACTAATGGTGATAAGCACAGCAGTTTCTGAAAAGAAAAATGTAAAAGTAATGCATTCCATATCTAAAAAAAAAAAAACAATGATAAGATGAAACCAAACCTGGACTTCGAAAATCCGGAACGCCAGCGGATGTTGATATGCCTGCTCCTGTTAAAACAATTATATTTTTAACTTCACCACTGCGAATATATTCAGCAATACCCTCAATTGTCAATGATGATAACTTTTGCTTCGTATCTGAAATATATATTTTTTATACTCCTATATTTCAACTGATTCTTATCGTGTTCAAGATGTATGGCCTTTACCCACGTAGCGGATATAATTTATAGGAAAACGAGCAAATGGTAAAAAAAAGGAAAACCATATTGAAGATGCTGGAATATTTCGACAAATAAAAAAAACGGCCGAACTCATAGAACTCTTCATACATACAAATACTAGCAACGAAGGAAATATAATCATTGTAACCTTCATTAGTACCATTTTTAATTTATGGTTCAAGAAATATATATATATATACAAGTTCGTAACTAGTTAAATATAATAAGTTCCATATAATCAATGATAATATATATATATTCATTTTTGAAATAAATCAGAATAGCATATCACTAAATAGCATACTCCATTCATTTCATTTATATCCTTATCTTTATCCAAAATGTTTTCATTCAAAATCAACATTACTAAATACCTTCTTCATTTCAGTGCTCCTATTCCTATCGTATTAGCTAAGACTTTTGGTGAGATAACTTGGATTAATACAACAAACTACGTTCATTAACTTCAAATCATACCTTTTTCTTTTTCTTTGGTCGTCAGTTTTTCTAACTTCGTCATCAGCATCTCAAGAGCACTCGGACTAATTGAATTTTTATTGTCCGTTGGCTTCGATGATTCCATTAATGGTGAACTTCTATGCTTATTCTTTTTCGACGAATTGCCAGTTAATTCCTCTTCGGACATTTTGTCGCCTATCGTATTATCCTGAACAGCAATCCGCTAATAATATTACTTCGATGAAATTTTACTCGCGTTTGTGACTCAAAAATTCCGAGAACAAATTTATATGATTGAAGAAAACCACACACTTTAATTACCTATGCAACAATGGATATATGCCAATACTACGTAACGAAGAATTTATAATATACTAAAATTCCTCTTAACACTCCAAACTTTTCTTAAAAATCTGAGTGTTAGAAACTTCTCTTAACAAAGCAAAAACTTCCTTTAAACCAAATAAACCTTTTTCAGGAGTATTTCTTTTTCCGTCTCATATCTTTGTCAATATTTCGAAAAAGTGTCGTACAGACATCAAAAATTATTCGAATATAAATGGTAAAGGTACCTGTTTGGTTGATGAAAATAAAGAAGAAAAACGAAAAAACCGTCGAAAATTTAGCAAACCAATGCTGCAAACTCTGTAAAAATTGCAGTTATATTATCCGGCAAAAAGAAATGAATGATCTAATTTGAAGGTATAATAAAAAATAACGAAGAAAGTAACCAATAAGTAATAAAACTGATAAAATTTTTAAATTAGTTTAAACAACTTTAAAATATGTAATTTTTGATAAGCTAAAACTTTAAACATTAAGGAAAAAAAATAAAAACGCTTTGTCAATATAATTCTTAATAGATTTAATTAGCATTCATGCCCTTGCAACCTATCATTAAATACTTGAAGATTTGTTTTTTTCTTTTCTTTCCAATTTAGTTTTAAATTGAATATGATACAGATAACATTCAGTAGTATAATAAAGTATTATGGTTTTGAAAAAAAACAAAATTTAAAAAGATTTCGATTAAAAAATAATTCATTTAAAAAAATTATTTTAGGTAATTTATGCATAAAAATTCCGGAAGAAAAAAAAATCAGCTAAAAAGAGAAAAAGAGTAAAATGATTTTTTTAAAAAAAGAAAGAAAAAGAAATGCTTACGACAGCGCTGATGACCTATTGATAAAAGTTATACTTCGTAAAATTGTTAGACTAATTTTATATGATAGCATACACATGAATTGTAAAGAGATATAAAAATGGAAAATGTAAATTAAAACTTTCTGAAAAGAAAACCTTTTCTATTATGCGTGTGCGCACTATATTAGGTTTCAATTTTCTTTCTTTTTTATTGAAAAATTAAATTATTATTCAGTTTAGAAGGATGGATTTCTTTTTTTCCTTTGATTCAAAATGATATGAAAAAAAAACAATGAAAAGGAAAAGAAAAAAATGTATTATATTCAAAAATTAAAAATTACACAAAGAAATTGCTCTCTGATCATTATGAATTCAGTAACTCATAAATATTGAAATTAATTCATTGAAACAAGAAGGAAAGAGGGGGAATAAAGAAAAATAAGTTTGTGATTTTAATTCAAGCATAAAGATTAATTAAGTTAATGGATGTGAAAAGAAATCAAAGGATTAAAACCTTTTTTCTGTTTTTTGTTCCCTCTTTTTCACCTTGAAATTAATTGTAAAAATAACATTTGCATCGTTAAATACTTCGACTGCTTCATTTCATAAATGGGAAGATATAAAATATGTAATGTTTTAAAATTAGATTTGAGATATGCAATTTTATTTTTTGAAAATATTGGAAAGTTTTACAACATCGTTAACAAGAACAGTATAAATCAAATATTATAAAATCATTGCCATTGTGAATGAATTACGTATGATTTGAACGTGTATGATAGATTTGTTTTGTAGGATTCTTAATTGATACATCAGATTTATCTCGAAAAGTGTTCTTTTATATAGCTGAATAATACAATGTTCTATTCACTCATGCAAATGATTCCATAATTCATAGGTTTAATACAGCAATAATGATGATAAATGAATAACATGAATTGATATCAAATATGAATAATATAATAATCTTTTTTTTTCGTTTTTTAAAAATGTTTTGAAAATTTTAAATAAAAATTTGACATACGTTTCACTACAGATAATCAAAACAATACACGTATTTTCATTCATTCGTTAATTCCCTAATTTTATGTAACGTATAAAAAACCGTTCAACTGTGGAAATAATGAGGTGAAAATGGTTTAACTTACTGAATAAATAAGTAAAACAAGCACACAATTCTACTCTTTCAATTTTATAAAAAAAAAAAACTCTTAATTCAAATTTCTGAAAAAAATTTTCGGCAAACTTTAAGACTTGTGCACTTTGGTATTTATAATTTTCTTTTTCAATTAAAGAAACTTTCTTATATTGAAAACTTTTGAGACAACTTTAAGAACTCAGTGTTTGCATGAGATCATACAGAACAGTACACGCGATTTCTAATCAAACGACGTCAGTTTCTCGAAATAAGTTGCTTCTTGGACACTTAGTAGTTTGGATCTGAAAAAAAAAAAAAACGCCAAACTAATATGTGGAATCAATCTTTCTAAATGAATTACTACAAAAAAAAAAAAAAAAAAGAAAAATTGCTACTGACGAATCGAGTTTAAGAAATACATACATTGAACCTTCAGGGAATGTGAAGCGCATACGACTCAATGCCATGGTAATTGAAGTGAGAAGAGGTGAACAGGTTTTGTTTTGCCATTCTTTGTCCTAAAAAAAAAAATTACAAACATTAATTATTGTAGTTAACCACCAAATGCCGGAATTCTTAAAGTATATATTTCTAATAATTTTTTAAATAATGATTTAGACAAAGAATTAAATATAAAGCTGGTACCGCCTAGCTCTATATTTACTTCTTCATTTAAATCGCAGTAAATCCTCATTATCTTATGCTTATGATGAGAAAAAGTGGTGAATATAGGAAATATGCAACAAAACAATGTAAAGTTCTTGCCCATAAATGATATCAATAAAAAAAAAAGAAATAGCACAATTCTCAAAAAATGTAAAAAAAAAAACCTTTATAAAATTGTTAATAAAAAAACCCATACAATTAATCAATTACTCAAAAAAGATTTGACAAAAAGATAAGAAAACAAACATTAACCTTTTTAACGGATCGCATATATCTTTCGAGATGACTACAAAACTGAAGCAATACCAATACTATTTCGTGTAAATCTTTTTGTACCACACCGAAACGATCCTCATTTAATGATACGCAAATAAGTGCCGAAACACCTGAAGAGGAGGTAATTTTAAAGTTATTTATTGCAATACAAATTAAATTGGAATTCAAAGTAATTACTGTCACAACTTAAAAAAGACAAAAACTTCAGACAATTTCACAATGTTAAAACTAACTTTAAAAATGTGCGCATTTTATCCAAAAAGGATAATGCTGGGTCCCAACGCTAATTAGATAAAGGGAGAATACGTGGTCTAGAAATTACCAGAAAAATCTTATTAATCGAGAATTTGATAAGAATGGCATTACAACTAGACAATAACAGTTTCGTTCCACAGAACTACAATACCACTACAATATAAGCTACTATCAAAAGATGGTATAAGGGAATTATAATTCATGAAACCAAATTATTAATGCCTAGCTATAATCTCATTTTAATCAGTAGCTAGACTATAACAGAACTGATAAGTTATTATGAATCTCAAAATAAAGTTACCCTTTAATTGGCAAGCAAAACAAAACAAGACAAAAAAAAAAAAGAATTTCCACTAACTGACTTTCTATAGCAAGAATACCGATATAGACGTCGAAGAATGAAACAATATGATGACTGATATGAATGAGAGATTTAAATTTATCCAGAAAATATGAGAATGTATTAGCATGAAAAGGATCTTTGCTTTCTTTCCGCAAATTTATAGGCATTAAACGTTGACGAAGACCATCTGAAAAATGACATCTATCGAGTTAATAGTAAAAAAAAAATCAACATATTCTACAATTTTTTGTCCAGGAGCAATGAACACTGCATCTCAGAAAATTTAAATGCAAAATTAGAAGCATCAAATACCTTTTTGCCATGCCATTTGACCTAAAATAGCTGGGCGATTATGGCCAGATGATGGTAATAAGGGAGCAGTCTAAACAGAAAATTCATTATTTTAATGATAACGACGTTGCATAATTTTTTTTTTTTTTTTTGAAAAAAAAGGAAAAAAACCTGAAATATGATAAAGAAATACAAGATTTGTTAAACACAGCAAGGTCAAACCTCAAACAACATCATTCAATTAATTACAGTTTCAGTAAAATCGTAGCTAATTTTACTTAATGTACAAATAATGTCACTCTGAACTGCTGCAAGATAATAGTATGAAATATTAGCAATAATAAAACTAAAAAAAAAAAAAAAAACAAAGGAAGCATACCACACTTGCAAATGTTTCAGATCGGATTCGGTCATTTTCATTTTCAAACAGCAAACTAAGATGCTCTATGTGTCGCAGACAAGACAGTTTTATAGCTCTCCAGTTCCGAGGATGACCACCTATAATTTTCTGGAGTTCTGTTAGAGAACTTGAAATTAATTGTAAAAGTTTAAAATTCCTCCTTCTTAACATATAATGTATAGATAAAACACATCGATCTATTTTTAATCCATCCTTTGAAAACAGCAGTTTAAGATTTTATTGTTAAATAATCAAAAATTCCTAGTCTTTAATGAAATTAAACTGTGTTATCAACTGATTATAGTTACCTGGCTGACTTAATGAAAAAATAATTTGACGGCGACGATGACATGCAGCACTTAATGAACGTAAATCCCAAAATGCAAAAGCCTGAAGAATAAGAAAATAAAAATTCCAAAGCTAAAGCATTATTCGACAAAATAATTTATCTGCTCAATAAAGTTTAAAAAAAAAAAACCTTTATAATGCCATTAGATTCAAGAGCATTCATCAATGTCCTCTGTTCCTCTGGTGTCGGATTTAATACAGCATGAGGTGGTGGCATGGAGAATTCATAATTCTAAAAAATAAAATAAACGCTAGAATACGATTTTATTCATAATAATGGAATGTTATTGATTGGCTTAACACTTAGGATAACCGAAAAATTGCGAAAAGACTACCTGAAGAATGAAAACTTTGATCAATCCTATAGCAATATGATGCAGGAAGAAGTGAACCAATAACAGTACCAAAGCGTTAAAGTATAAAGAGATGCCGAAAAGATTACGTAGCAATGAAAAACCAAATAATGGTAAGCCTGAAAGTACAACACAATTTCAGCATGAAATGAATCAAAGTAAAAAACTTCATTTCTCCTTATTTTCATGCCAAATACATTTTGGATTTAAGTGGCGTCAGCAATGCTAAGAAATCTGAACATTGGAAATTTAAAAAAATCAAGCATTATCAGTTGAATAATTAATTTAAATTAGTCTGAAATAAAATTCCTAATATATATAGAAAAGATAGACATAATTAACACAGTAAATAAAAATAATAAAAAAAGATAAAAAACGAAAATAGATTACCACAAGCTACTATAAAAAATGCAGTCCATTTCAGGATTTGAGAACACTTTGTGTCCAAAATATTTTTAATTGCTGGTGTTAAAACGAAATTGAATTGCATATACGGTCGCATCTGAAAATTGAATTATGAGTATTAGAAAATGCTTATTAAAACAAATATTTAAAGTAATTTTCTAAAGTAAAAAGTCTTAATGATAACCTTAATGTTTTTCTAAATCAGAATTTTAAAAAGAACTTGTATAATATTAAAAAAAAAAAAAGTAAATATCAGATATACTTATTTCAAACAAGTTATAATCATAATTTTTTTGCTGTCCCTTCATGTTTATTTGTTCATAACTTCTTCAAAATAGCTAAAACAAAAAAAAAAAAAAAAAATGAATTAAAAGAAAAAAAGAAATGAACGTGACATGTAAGTTAATATATAGCTCGTGAGTGATTTTCTTTTTCCCACACTTTATCGAACAACGCAAACGCATCACAATAAAATGATGTTACGACGAATTATAGATGAGGATATAATAAAACTTAGGAATACCTTAAAAAGATTTACCTCAATAACTGGAAATACTAATCGATAATTTCTATGAAAAACTTCATGAAAGGTAATAACGGCCTGGGTAGTAACCAGTGAATAGATGAAAAACCTGAAGCATTTTTGATTACACTAAATTTTTTGGTGTTTATTTATTTCAATTTCATTTTTTTTTTGAAAAAAATTAAAATTCATGTCTTTCTATTAAAAAAGAAATGCATGAAAATACCTCGTAATTTCAGGAGAATTGGAACCAACTGAGAGGCAAATAATTTGTGAGAGCGCAGTATTCAACGATCCAAAATAAATCAGCCATGCTCTTAAGGATTTATAAGACAGCCTATAAAACAAAAAAATAAAAAAAAAAAAACAGAAATATAACCATCTGAATATATATCATGAAATTATAATAGATCTTTTCGCTATCATTTAGAATGTAAATATATATATATTTCATTTAAAAATAATGCTTCTATTAAAGTAATAATTGAACTTTATTTCTCAGAATTAAAAAATTATAAAAAACTTTGATGTAAAATTTTTCTGGCAAAAACACAATATTTCACTAAAAAATTTCAAAAAACTCCAAAATCCAAACAATTGAATAACCTGTCTTCACTATCAAAACGTAACACGAAGAATGCAAACAGGGCAGCATGAATTGCACCAAAAATAGTAAAGAGGAATGAATACAGGATACTTCGAAATGAAAATAACAACGAGAAACAATCTGCAAATATTTTAAACATATTCATTAACATATTACTTAATTGATCAATAAGGATGGAAACTACTACAATTTGTCTAATCAATAAAGATATTAAAAATAGACATTTAAGATCATAAATACATCTTTAACATCTCAATGCGTTTAGCATAAAAGCTTCATGATATGATTAAATGTATCACTTATAAATGGTTTGTTGGTAGAATAAATTAACCAAACTTTTCAAAGAATTCTGACACTAATAAGCAAAATCATTTATAAAAAATTTTGGAAGGAAAAATTTCACAATCTAAGCAAATGAATAATCTGTCCCTAATTTCCACAACCTAACTTTCTTATAACAGATTCAGTTAATCGAAACTAATAAAAAATTCTGAAATAAAAAATTTCATATATCCGATAATTCAGATACCTAAGAATTTTTGAAACAAAACAAAGAAAAAAAATTAAAACTTCAAAAAATTCATTTACCTAAAGCTGCTTGGAAAGGATGCAAAAGAGAGATCTGCAAAATGCATGCAGCAATAAAATATACTGGAATGCAATATAGTCCAAGGCAAATAATAGCCTTCAAAATCCGTAGGAAAATCTGAAATTATTACTCTATAAATTAGCATGCACGTACATCATAAATGTTGCAATACTAATACAGCTAATACGCTTATCAATTTATGAATTTTGTTAACAATTTTGTGGTGTGCAAATTCAATAAAAAATTTTCCATTAAATTTCAAAAATACAAGAAAAAAAACTAGAATGTAAAGTGGTGAGAACAAAATAGTAATAATATGCTTACAATATGTTGAAACCACTGTGTTATGGATTCAGATGAGGTCTGATATTTCCGATGTTCCAGTGGTTCCGCATTGAAAGAGCTTAATTGTTGTTGTTTTTGATTATCAATTGTGGGTGATAGTACAGATGGTGATAATGGATCAAAACTGTGAAATCGTCCAGCCATTGATACAACTCCAATATCATCTAACAGCTAGACATAACTGATAAGTTCATATAGTTCATGCAATAATAAATTAGAAACAAAACGAAGCAAAAAAAAAAAAAAAAAACAACAATTAGTAGTAGTTATAACCTGAAACATCCTTCACAATTGATAAATCTGAGATAAATGCAAAAGTATTGAATATTTCAGAAGCATACTTTGTTTAATTTCCCTACCACATAAAATCTTTCAGAGCTGATGACAATCATTTAAACTAGTGCGAACTATATCCATGAAATAATTTGTTGGATATTTAGAGAAAAATAATAACTATCAATTACTACAGAATTTTCTTCCCAATGTTTCTGCACTTTTCTTCATTTATTTTCAACCACTTGGAACTAGTTCCAATGGTTACTTGATAACTTACTTGAAACTAAATTATTACAAGCAGAGGAAACATTAGATGCAATGGCATTCGAAAAGAAACCCACCAGCTCCGGAAACGTCCATAATTAAATATTTCTTCTGTTGGTAAACAAAACTAATTCTACATATATAATTAGAAGAAAATGGGAACAAACTACCGCAAATATTACCTATTGTAAATAAAAAGTTGATGATAATCGAGTTAAACAACAGTGATTCGGCACTGGTCTGCGAAAAACAGGTTGAAAACTTTTGGACGAGAAATGTGATTTTTCAATAGATTTATGCAAATAAGTATAGCATCTGCCAATTGGAGCACAAAATTTGCAAAATATCTGACATGAATTTGAGTACATTTACCAATTCGGATTCAAAATGCTTTTGATGAATGTTTAAGCATAGTTAAGTTTTAAAAGATATGATTGACATAACACTGAATAATTTTTCAAGAATTTTCAAAAAATCATATAACAAATTCTCACATTCCTCATTTCATCGTATGATACTTTAAAAAAATTGATTATATCCAAATAAATATAAAATAACTGAAATTGACAAAGCTTACCAATCAGTTTTCTCATCATTTTAGGACATTACAATTATCTTTGGAAAAAATGAGTGAGCATGAGAAAAAAACCAACACAAAACAAAACATAAACTGAATAAAATGAGACCAATGGATCATCCTCGGAACTGAGGTCGAGGCATACCCCCTGGACCACGTTGATTGCCACGTGGGCCACCACGTCCCCGAAATGCAGTGCCACGTCCTCAAAGTGAATAAAACGAATATTTTCAAAAAAAAAAAGTAGCATAAGAGATTATAAATGTAACCTTAGCTTTATGTCCTCATTAGAATTAGAACAATTCCTGAAATTCTTATCTCGGAAATTTCATATTTAAGTGATAAAACTAAAACTTTCGCTTCTATAAAATCGTTTACCTCGAAGGCCACGTCCATCACGATTATCTCCCATTCCCATACCAACAGCTCCTTTTTGGGCTCGTCCAATATTCTTGAACATAGGTGCGTTCTTCAACATGTCTGGCAAAATCATAAACCGAATCTTTGATCCACGAATAAAAACATTATCCAAATGATGAGTCCTTCCATCTCGATAAGTTACCGTGACTTCGCTCATTTGACAGTTCATGTTATCCTCTGCCTGAAATGACAAAGTAGTGACATCTCGCAATCCGATTTTCGGTTGAATCAAATTATCAGCTGTAAATCTATTCAGGTGAACAAGAAATAAAATACATCTATCCTGATTATTCGGTCATTTCATGCAATGAATTCCTTAGGTAGAAACAACAATTCAACAAGTCCAGATAATTAAAATTGCAGTTTACCTCATTCAATTTACCGCGATATACTTCGCCAATTGTCGTCTCCAGTGTAATAACATGACCTTCAGCTTCATGTAAAATTTTAATCGGAACACCAATTGCAGTCATTGTGAACCTATCAAACAAATTGAAAAAAGTAAAGGTAAAAAAATTACTGAGAATAAATAATAACAATGCTACCAACGACCTAATTTCAATAGTTTCATTAGAATTTAACTTGATTGGGGTCTTGAAATTAAAGACTAACTTGAAAATAGAAAAATATGTATAAATAGCAATAGCATCAAACATTAATCATATGCATAATCCCCCAACTGCAAAATATTTTATAGTCTTTTATCATAAATATATGATAACGATGCCATACAAATGAGATCGTTAATAAAATTATGTAAACGTAGATGAACTTAATGAATACGATAAGTCAGTAACATAGAAATGAATTCCGATGTCACCTTTGGTATACTCTTAAAAGCAATCACAAAATTACCACCTCAAAACAAAGAAAAAATGCATTTTGCATCCTTTCATCGTTCTTTTCAAACTATAAATTTTAGAAGAAAATATCAGAAATGAGAAAAAATTACTGCAATATGCAAATGCAAATAACGTTACATAAACAAATTTGTACATATGTTATTTTTCTGTATTATTTTATGCGAAGTACTGAGAGAAAAGTCAATCTAATCAACGGATTCTTTTAGGTGACAGATGAATTAGATAGTTCTATTCAAATGAGAATTCCAAAGATAAATTAACGTCCAGATAGATCAAGATGATACATATCCAAGGCAATATTAACTCATAATCACAGAATCCCTGCCCCCTAAACAATATAAATCCAACTACTGAAAGGGAAGCTTCACTTTAAGCAGCAATTTGATTTAAATAAATACAGAAAAATAGTAAAGCAGCAGAGTATTTAAAGACTAACTACAATTGGAACACGTAAGTTCAGTAAGTAAATTTGTCCAGTTACTAGCACAGATCGTGAGTAAACAGAGAAGATCTCGAATGCCAGCAAAAATGCAAACGCATTAACATTTACACTCGTAGCTTTATAAGCAATAAAAAATCATGCTAAACATGAATACAATACCTAACGAGTAGAAAATGCTTTTTTATTATAAAGTTCTACAGAGCTTCCAAGCTAGCAAATTATAAGATCTAGAAATGCTCGGGAATCTCGCTAGTACGGATTCGGCCAATTAGCTGTTTCATTCCCTGGACAACATTCCGCGTCTGTGGAGTTAATTCGTCATCTCTTGCATGAAGCAGCTGAAAACTAAGGAAGTGCAGATTGGAAAACACCAATCGCATGTCTAAAATAATAAACCTGTAAAATTTCCTAAAAGATTTGACTTTTCAAAAAATTTCGAAAAATCAATTTCAGAAACAAAAACCTCGTTTACAAGGAAGACATTTTCATCGCTTTCTGTCTCGTTTCCTGCAACTACTGGTGTACCGGCAACAGAGAATGCCACTTCCTCTCGACGCAAAGTCCGAAACTTGATATCATCACTGGAAAATTCAAATTACCCAATCCACTTTTTTTTTTTAAGGAAAAGAAACAAGAAAAACTCTACCTTAGCGCAAAAAAAGAGGAATTTAAAAAGATTTTTCTCTTACCCATTTTGGACTTTCGGCGTTATAGCTCCCGGCACGCGAACATTCCCAGCAGGCGTTTTTAGAACAACAGGTTTCAAATTCCTGCACCTAAAACAGCAACTCATGAAGAGAAAATGAGAAGGTTTTTTTTTCACAAAAAAAAAAAGTCATTATCTTCTACTTCCTGAACCTTCCTATAAACAATAAACAAGCACTCCAGTTAACATTAAAAAAATTCAGAACCAAACTTACGCTGGAGTCCTCATGTTTGTAGAAGGTGGTTCAGGTACCAATTTCCGCGCCCCTCGAAGCCGACTTGCCCAGACGTTTGATTTTTGTCCCATTCTGGATTCACTTTCAGTTTGTTGACTAACAGTCGGCTCATCAGACAGCTCAACGATAGGATCTAAAATATTACTTGAGGAAGATTCCAACATTCCAACAGTTTATTTGGAAACAACATAAATTAATATATTTATATTAACAGATTTAAGTAATGATATATTAAAATCTGCCAATTTCACAAAAAAAAATTAGATTTGCAAAAATTACCAGCAGTCTCACACGATGAAATGAATTCAAAAAGATTGCTTTTGCGGAGTTCCTAAAAATTGATAATAACAGTTCGCACCATCATTATTTCCAACATTCAAAACCTACAACGTTACATTCAGAAAACCTATCTTCATTCACAAATCCTGTCCTGTCTGTCATGTTCTAAGAATGACGATGACCTATACTTACTAGGGATGATTTTTTGTCAGAAATTCCAGATTAGTCTAATGAAATTAGTTGATGTCCATCAACGTTATGTGTAAAGTGTGTAAAGTCTACTCATCCTCACCTTCAAGAAATTGACTTATTAACATGATTTAGAAAAAAATGAATTGATGTTGCCGAACTCAACAATATAAACTCACTTCTGGCAGTTGATCAATTTCTTGGAAATATGCCTCAAGAATATCATTTGCATTAATAAGTTGTTGAATTTCCGCTAATTTTGCTTCGCCTGTAAGAATAACAGGGATGAATCAAATATTTTTGATAATATATATAAAACTATCAACTGAAATCTAACCAATCAATCTTTCACGCTTATCTAGATGGATTGGTGGTAAAATCTACTTTTATTCGACAACTGTGGAAACAGTGTTACAAAGTAGAATTTCACTTGAACTGCTTACTAATTACTATCAATATAATAATTGGACAAAATTTCATCTAGTCATCAGGAAAAATCATTTATCCAGTTTCAGTTCTATCCAAGCAGTCACCAGAAAGACAAAAATAATCATTCGTTCATCTTATTTTATCCACAAACCTTGTTTCTCAAAGTTCGTCTTCCACTCTTGAATTCGTTCGGGTACATGATTACTCTGCGCCATGTAATAGGTAAATTTCCGCAAATGAGATAAACCGAATCCTTCCAAAGAAAATGGTCTACGCTAAATTGAATTATATTGACTTGAGAGTATATGATGAAGCTCACATTTATGAAAATACAAACTTTACAAAAGTGTAATATGCCTACACTTTCGTATTTTTTCCCCGCAGCATAACAAACGAGTATACGTCAGTCTATCCATACCCATTTAACCAACATATATGTCAAACAAACATAAGTCTATCCACATATTTTATTGTTATATTATGTAGGAAGAAATTCATAGTAAAAGAAATGATTTTTATTTCTTTCCATTTCCATTTTGCAATTCCATTTTCTCACTATATAACATACAACACAATAACCGAAAGTGAAATACATAAAACTGTATGACTACATTATAAATTGATTATATTACAATTAAATGAATGGATGCGGTATCAAGAGAACTCATAATACCTCAACAATCTTAAGTAATTCAAGATTAAATTCTATAGCAAGAAACTTATATAAGTAAAATCTCACCTTTAATAGTTACCAACTGTTGACAATTTCACACTACAACTTTATCTAGCTTCTTCCATATAATGAAAACCTGCAATGCTCACAACAAATCTCCCAGATATCCCGAGAAATCCTGCCAGGAAAAGTCTCCAACCAGTCACTCAAAACAATTTCGAAAACCAATGAACCAATTCAAAACCATAACGTACGCTCGAACATTCGTCCCCATATCAGCCTACAGCTAAACTTCGGACATAGGCACCATCCGTACGATACCAATAAGTTCATTTCGATTTTTGGGCTGAGGATGGGAGATAGCGTGTGAGGTGTATGTGACGGTGAGGGTAAATTATCGGATAGAAGTCCTGATTAGCCGGATCCTGAAAAGAAATCGATAATTAGACGTAACCCGGAAGAAGTAGGGTACAATACGGATTAGTCCGAAAATGAATGATATGTTTGTATATTAAAACGTTAGCATTAATTTCGAAGTGTTGAAGTGAGAATGAAAAGTTGAAGTAATCGCTTAGGCTTAGTGACAAAGTTTGAATTGGTTATTTTTTGATAATTATGATTAGAATGTTCGGGCAGTTTCGTAATTATATTTTATTGCATGTTTGATATTTTATCTGTAATTTAGAAATTATTTTTTGTCTTCCATTTCACAATGATATATTTGCTTATCTTTTTCCTTTTCCTTTCAGAATTTTCCGAAATGCCTCGGCAAATAACAGAAATCAAGGAGTTTCTGATGACTGCTCGAAGGAAGGATGCCAAATCGGTAAAAATTAAGAAAAATCCAGATAATGTGAAATTCAAGGTGCGATGTAGCAAATATCTCTACACGCTCGTCATTCAGGTAAGCAGTATTTTAGTTATAATTTTACTAAGTTTGAAAGTTATAACCTTTTTTCCTTTCCATGAGGTGCAATTTATTTAAGACCAGTTATTCTGCTTACCACTTCTTGATTCTAGTATTGTTAAATGTTAACCCTACATCTAAATATTCTGCTTTTGACTTCTTTTGTTGACTTTTATATCTTGATAGTAACTGGCTTGTTTATGCTATAGTCTTTTTATGCAATGCTTGCTTGTGGTTTTGATTTTGATTGGTTTTATGTCGGAAATGCAATCAGAAGGGTGCAGACAGGTTTAATTGTTCTATTGGCCATGCACTATTTTTAAATTCATGAAAATAGGCAACGATTGTGGAATTTTGGTCGGAAAACTTCTTCAGAATGTTTCTTAGACAGTCGAAAGAAATACTATACCCAAGAAACGTTGAGAATGTTTTGCTTAGTATGGTTTCATTTCACTGATCCATTTTTCAATGTATATGAAGTTTTTGTTCTTGAGCAGAACCGGAATTTTAACTTTCAGGATAAAGAAAAGGCTGAAAAATTGAAGCAATCGTTGCCACCTGGTCTTCAAGTAAAAGAATTGAAATAATAGATGTTATTCCGATTACGATATCTGCCATTGATTTTGGTTGCATGTGGTGTGTTAATTTCGATTGCTATATGGTTTACATTGGAAGTCTAAATAAACAGATCTTTTGAATCAGTTATAGTTCTCAAACAAGTCAGAACTGGTTTTCCTTAATTACAGATGAGTAATCTCACTTGTAAGCTGTATAATCCATATGCGGTAAGAATGTTATATGTTGCATAGAATCAACAAATTTGTTGGTTGATAGAAATTTTGTCATTTAAAACAAGTATTTGAGCACGTTATCACATATTACAGTGGTGGAAAATCAATTCTGTTTTTATTGTGAACATTTTTATTTTTGAACAGGTTTTTTTGAAGAATTTTAAACAGGTTTAGCCTGGAATAGTACTGAGCATCAGATATGTTACTATCGAAGGAATGAGTTAGTCTCCAGAAACATCTATCCAAAAATTTCTAGTGGACGTAGAGAAACTTATTAGTCAATGATTTAGAAACCAAAACCCTCAAAAACATGTCTGATGTGTTGGCGTAGTTTTCATCCATGGGCACTTAAGATTAGCTTGGCCACATGGGCTATGTCCAATTGCACAATACCAATCATGATAAAAGAAAAGAAATACAGTTACAGCAATTAATAAAACATAAAATGAGAGTGAAATTATTTCAAGACGTCGAATCACTCGTTGCCATCTGGTTTGCAAATTGTCTTGTGGCAAAAGATTCATCATTTCCGCACTGTAATTTTACATATATAATTCCATCATTTAAGTATTTTGCATAGATTATATAAATTTTCAGCATAGATGTTTGAACTTGTTATTTCCGAAAATTAAAAAAAGAAAAACAAAACTTTTGAGAAGTCATGGACTAATTTGAAATGTTTAGATTACTTAGAAACCTAAAAATAATGGTGTAAACTATGTTAAATGTATTTGCATTGCATTTGATAATCTAATCTGAATAAGAATTTAAATGAAAAATGATATACTTTCCCATTTAACATTTGGCTAATCGTAGAAATTGGAAAACTTTTTCTCCACATACATTTAAATAATGGATTCATCCACTATTTAAAGCTATTTAAATGATTAAATTTGTTAATTCAAGCACTAATGTGTAGCTTTGTAAAATTTAAATTCTTTTTCTTTTTCAGTACTCTCTTGCTACTGTTTATTATTATTTTCAAATGAAAATTTATGAACAAACCGTATTGCATTAACGGATGTTTCGATATTTCTTATTGTATCGATCAAATATTCCCATGACTGATTGCATACCTGTTCGATGTCATCGTAATCTGTCATCAAATTGGGTGTCATAGCAAATCGCCCCCTGAGTACAGCTGGTGGAGAAAGCCTTGCTGAATCATTCTATAATGCTAATTTAATATTTTAAATTATATGCGAATTATTGAAAGTAAGTAAATGATAGAATTTATAAATTGTAATTATTGATAATGAAAAATTTGTCATAATTTATGTTATCAAAAAATACATTTGTCATCTAATTAAAATGAAAATTAAGCTAAAATTTCAGGATCAAAGTATTAAATATTAAATTGTTGCAAAAAAAAAAAGACAATAAGAAATTCAATTTGCATTTAAAGGTTCTATATATTTGAAAACGATTAAAATAAATCAACTTACACGTACAATAAGTCGTTTATTGATATCATTCGAAGGAACAGGACTAAAAATAAATATAAACATTACAAGTTAACATTTATATAAATGTCATAATATTTAGCTCTATTCAAACTGAAATTCATTTATCAATAAAATGCTATTTAATTAAGTTTATCTAAGAGTAAAACATTTTACAATATTAATGAAAGTTTTTTTATTGGATTAATTAGATTAATTCTTACATAATATTTGATTTTCTTATTTTAAATTTTAAAAAATTATTACCGTAAAAGTCGTATATTTATATCAAATGAAAGCCAATGTAAATACCATGGTATATGATTACTACGTCTTAAATCTTTCTCCAAAAAAACAAACATTGATGTGGTAACTGTTGAAGAGCCAATTATTGCCAATAAAATAAAATAATATAAACCTATAAAATTTTTTTTTAAAAAAAAAAATCGATTTTCAATTTTAAATTTAACTTCAAATTCATACATTTATTATCGAAATTGTTCAAAATAAAAAATAAAAAAAACATAATTGAATGTTTTTCTCATCTTCTTTTTTGTTTTTTTTTTTTTCTTCAAAACAAGGCTTTTTTTTAAAGCAAAAAATAATTCCTGATCCGGAATTTCACTAAGATAGCAATTATTTTATTGATAAATTAAAAGTACTAGTACAGTGTTGGTAAATATTAAATAATTTTTAACATAGAAGGAATTTTTTAAAATTATTTTAAATAGCTTAAAATGAATTTGTAATTTATTTTATTTTTTCTTTTCTAAAGAATCAAAAAAAGACAAAAGAAAAAACAAAAACATCTATTTATAAAATTCGATGTTATTATCATCGCTTCTCATTTTTAATTTTTTTTTTTCTTTTTAACATTTTTTTTTTTTTGTCATTTTTCATTTAATGCAATGGAATTATATGCACAATTATATTTGTAGAAAATTTATTTTTCATTAAATTTGAACTGCTAAAATTTAATTTACGCATAAAGCAAAAAAAAAATTTTTTCTCACAAAAAGTATTTGCAGAAATTTATGTAAAATGGAATTTTCTCATTCTTTTACTATTATCATTAATGTGAACATTCATTCTTTTATTAAAAAAATTTCACACATTTAAAAACAATTTTCATTGTTAAGTAAATACTATTTATTTTCATAATAGAATAATAATGACAAAAGGAAAAAAAAAGGATTGGAATCTTTCTATTATAATAATACTAATTATTAATAATTATAATAGTCAGTAAATAAGTAAGTAAGTAAGTAACAACAATAATAATAGTAAGTAATGTATTAATGGTAAATAATAATAAAAATAATAGTGATAACAATAAATGATAATGATAATGATAATAATAACAATCAAAATAATAATAATAAATAATGATAATAAATAATAATAATGAATAATAATAATAAATAATAATAATAACCAAAATAATAATAAATAATAATAATGATAATAATAATAATAATAATAATAATAATAATAATAATAATAATAATAATAATAATCAAAATTCTAACCAATTAATGGAATACCAGAAAATGAACCACGTCCTTTACGTGAACTTGACATACTAAATTTTGGCATATCTTCAACAATTGCAAGTAATATGACACTCATACTCATTAATGTCATTATACCAAGTCGAAATTTTGCATCCCTTAAATTTAATTTAAAAATTTAATTAAATCTAATTTTTAACTTTTCATTTTCCTTTCATTAACAATAACAAAATGAAATTTTTTTTTTTTTTAAACAATTTATATAATATATAACTTAATTAAAATAATAAATTACCTCATTTTACCGCTTGTACTCGGCGTATGAAATCCAATTACAGCTACTAATGTGATTATTGTGCTCGGTATAACTAAGTTAAATACTAAAAGAAAAAAATGAAAGTAAGAATTTTCATAAAACAAAAGTAAAAAAAAATTTATTTTACTTTAGCTTTTTTTTTTATGAAAATTTTTTTTTGAATTTAAAAATTGAATAAAATGTTAAATATTAATAAAATAGTACCATAATAAAAACTTTGTCGAATTAATACAAGATCCATAATAATCATTTCCCAGAATAATGGTGGATCCAAGTAATCATAGAGAAAACTATCGGATATGATATTACTATGACTCTTTAAAATTGAAATTAATAATTTGAATAAATTATGCAAGTGAAATTTTAATTTGTTATTTCAAAATGAATTTTTTAAAAAAAAAAAGAAGCAAATCGAACAATTTGAATTTTCAAAGTATTTATGAAAACTAAACTACTAAATTATAAAAATTTAAGAATATGATAAACTTTAAAGTAAGTTTTGAAATTGTAATAGAACTACAGAAATTTTATTTAAAAAACCAGTAAAGTTAGTTAAATTTATAAAATACTAAATTAAGGAAATAAAAATGAAAATTTTTAAATACTTTAAAATTTTCAGTTTCAAAAAAAAAAAAATCCTTAAAAATATTTTAAAATTAATTTTCAGTTTCATTTTTTACATTTCTTTTTTTCTTTTTTGCACTAAATTATAGATTTCAAAGATAATTGCATTAAAATATACATTTCTTATTCAACATGATAAAACTATTTGTTATATATTATAAACAAATTATTAATTTTAGCATTGTTCGTTTGTAATCTTATAAAATAGTAAAATTAAATTTCTATAATATTAAATTTAAATTTATAAAACATTTGAATTTAAAAGGAAAAAAAAAGAAAGTATCATGAAAAATATTTTAATTTTTTAATCAAATATTAATTATAAAGCATTCATAAATTCAACTAAAAATTTATTTCAGAATATCACCAACCGAATCAAGTTGCCATTCTTGATTGTCATAAAAATCGATCAAACTGAGATGATCGGAATACAAAGCATATTTGATCGAATCATTAGAGTGTGCCCAGGAACCAAACAATAAGGTGCATTGTTGACTGGAAAAAAAAAGAGAGAAGAATAAAATTAATTTAAAGAATGTTAAATTTAAAAATAATTTAAAGAATGTTAAATTTAAAAATAATTTAAAGAATGTTAAATTGAAAAATAATTTAAAGAATGCTAAATTTAAAATTAAAATTAATTTAAAGAATGTTAAATTTAAAATTGAGAAGAAAAAAAAGACAATTTGGTAATTTTAAAAAAGGAAGAAAAACTAATAAACTAATAATAATAAACAAATAAAAATGTAATTATACATTTTCAATATGTATTTGAATAATTTACATTTTTGTATTAAAAAATTTTGATAGTTAATTTTTTTAAATTAAAAACAGTCAAATTATTTTTATTTATATTTTAAACAGATATTTTAGAAATGATAAAAATAAAACTTTACACACATATGATATGATATGAGTTGAAATTTATTAAATTTGAATTTAATAGAAAATAAAATTGCAAAAATCCTTTGTGTTTCTTTCTTTTCTTTTTTTTTCTAATATTTTAAAATAATAATTAAATGAAACTAACATATCAAATGGGAAAAATTTAACATCCAATTTGCATAATGATTCGGTTGAATAAGGCAAATAATAGCGAACATTTCCGGTATAATTAACACGGACATCATTATTGCTCAATAATTTTACTGCTTGATTAAAATGATGGCTGAAATTTTAATTTAAAACTAATTTTTCTTTTTTTTTTTTGTTAATTTCAAGTTATAGAATTAGTGAAAAAATTTTAATTTAATGTGACAATATATTTGAAATTCTGATACTAATATATGATCAGAATTGTATAAATACATATTATAAACTTGTAATAAATGATTATAACTCATACTGAATAATTATATTTGTATGTGTTTTTTGTATTAATTAAAATCAATAATAAAAATTAATTTTAATTGAGCAAAAAAAGTAATCAAAATGTAATCAATTCTTTGTTGTGAATATTAATATTTATGAATTATACTGATAACAGTATATATCGTTGGTGAAATCTATCAAATCAGACAATTCTTAATTGAAAGATTAGACAAAGTGTGCTGATAAGAAGAATGAACTTATTAACTTTGTGATGACCTTTAGAGTTAGCAAAGGGACAACTTTGACCTTTAAAGGTGATCAGATGAAGCTTATCAGTTTGTTAGGATATCAGGAATGAGACTAAGGATAAAGTGTGACATTTGCTAGCAACAGGAAAGGTTGAAAAAGCTGAAACGGTTGACATGATAAGATGCAATTAGGAAATTAAAGATTCAATCGCACATGAAAGAAATATTTGATAATTTTATGATAAATAATGAACTTTGAACTTTGATATATGCGAAGTGCTTTTAGTGTTTTTAAAGAGTTTCATAGGATATTCTGTGATCTCATAGAATTTCCAGCATATTATAAAAACTTTCAATCTGAATTTCAAATTTCAAACTTTCTTCAATGCTAACCAGTTCAAAGTTCAAAGATTAGCAATTCAGAACCTTACACATTAATCAGTAAAAAATTAATTTAAACATAGCCTAAAACTAATAAAAGTTGAAAAACGATAGAATAATTGGAACTAATAGCAATAATAGTTTTCCATCTGAAATCTTAAAAATAGAGAGGTCAGAAAGGTCAAGTAAAATTTTATGCCAAATTTCATGAATTTCCGTATTAAGCTATGAACAATAAAATGAACTGTCATTAGATCCAGGTGTGACAGCTTGTATACAAGAAAAAAGATTAAACTATAGTTCTGCTCTTTATTGCTGGAAGAATATTTTTGAAAAGATTAATATTTGTTATAATATACACCTATATATTAATTAATATGCACAGGTAATTTGATCCTTGTGCTATCATTAATTCATTAACTAATTAATACTAATATTTAATTTAAGAAATGGATCGTAATTTAGCAAAGATAAAAAAAATGAGTAAAAATTCATTCATTTGGAAATTTTGCAATTAGTATATAATTAATAAGTTCATTTCAAACTATAACTGAATATTTTGATTGATATTTGAATTAAATTTAAAATTGAATTTATTTACTTATTTATTTTTTTGCAATATTTTACCTGTAATAAAGGGAAAATTCTGGAATCCAAATATCATTTGAAGAAAGGAAAATTTCGGTAGCACCATCATAATCACTTGGATTCCATTGCAAGAAATCATCTTTCCAATACTAAAATTTTGAAATAATTTCAAAAAACATTAAAATAATAATATTTAAACATTTTTCATTTTCAAATATTAATAATCCTTTGTTTGATCTAAAATATTATCATTAAACTGATAACTTTGATATCATTAATTAAATGATGAAAAGAATAAATAAACAAAAGAAAAAGTTTTTTTTTTTCAAACAAACTGAAATTTAAAAAATAAAAATCAATAATTCAAATGCCTGAGGGAAATTTCTTGACAAATTTTGTCAAATAACAGACAAAATCAGATAGTATGGAGAATTAAATTGTAAAAAAATGAAAAGAAAAAAAAAACTTATTTTGCAATTCTTTTTTTTTTTAAAAAGAAAAAAATTATTATTCATTAATTTATAATTTCCATTTTTCAATTAATGAAAATGTTTTGAGAAAAGTATTTGTTATATTCTTTAAAGCTTTTTTTTAAAATTATTTTATAATTTTTGATAAGAAAAAACAAAGACAGAATTAAGCAAATTGAATTTTTTGTTAAATTTTGATAAATTAAAAGGGAGAAAAAATTAACAAAGCGTTTTATCAATGCTAACAATAATTATGAAAAGCAAAAATTGTACAAAAAAAAATCAAAAACAAAAACAATGAGATAAAATTAGATAAAAAATTTTTTAAGTAAAATTATCAAAAATAAAAAAAAGTTATGTTAAAGTTAATAGTAAGCTTTTTTTTAACTGAATTATGACGAATTAATAAATAATATTATTATATAAAAATTAATTAATAATGTGGTATAAAATGTTCATTAATTTTATTAAATATTATTTTATTTATTATTTTCAAAATTTTTTATACAATTTAAATTAATAATTTTCGTAATAAATTTTTGCTTCAAATTCTTTTCATTTGACTGATTTTTTTTCTTCTTTTTTGCTATGTTTGCAATTTTATGTACACAAATAAAATTAATTACTATTTCAATATTTCAACAGTTTGAAGTTTTTTTTTTTTTTTTTTTAATTTAACAAAAAAAAAAAAGTGAAAAAAGAAAAGCAAAAATTAGAAAAATATTAATAAAAATATAATACAATTTTATATTTAAAATTTAAAAAAAAAAAAGAATTTCAAATTAAAATTAAATTAAACAATTATTGTTTGTCATTGATAGCAGAAAGATAAATTAATTATTCTTTGCCATTTTCAGATTTCTTATCGATAAATATCACCGAGGAACTATTTCCCTCTCCCTGCCATCTTCTTCCTTCTCGTTTCATCTTTCCTCTTCTCTCATTCCATCTCTCTCTCTCTCTCTCTCTCTCTCTCTCTCTCTCTCTCTCTCTCTCTCTCTCTCTCTTCGAATTCCCCTTTCCGCTCACTTTCCCGAACAACAATTGTCATCCGTTTTGCACATGTCATCCATTTCATTGTCTGTTATTTTTATCAGTTCTTTTCGTATATCATTTAAAAATCATCATGTTTTAATGAAGTCGAGAATAATCATGATAATCTAAATCTTATCATCTTGAATAATCACGATAAATTGAAATCTATTTTATCCATTTTAAGCTAAACTCATGATAATATAAATCTTATCGTACATTAGAATAGCTATGGCTAATTTTAATTAATTATTGAATAATGATGATAATAATTCAAGTCTTATGAATGATAAAATAATCATGATAATTTGTATTTTACAAATTTTTAGTACAATCATTATATTTTAATTGTTATTAATCTTATCAGTGATAAAATAATCATGATAATCTAAGTTTTATCAATTTTTTTTTCTTTTCATAACATAGTGAAAATGCATGATGTTAATCTTATTAATCTTAAATAATAATTGTTGATAACAAATGAATTTATCACTTTTAAATTATCACTATTAAATGAAGTAAAATGTTTATTCATATGACAAATTATATGTTACATTAATAAATTTTATAACTATCACTTTATAGTGTTAAAGAATTAATCACAGTTTACATTAGCTATGTTTATGATAATTTTTAATTAATTATATTTAGGAATAATCGTTATTCGTGATAATCATCATTTCAACAATTACATTGTATAATAATCACAATTTATGTTATTTTAATGTAAATCATAGCAATATTTCTAATTCGATGCAATCATAATTAAGTCAAATGATAATGATAATTTGGTGATAATGGCATTGCTAATTAGCATTTTAAATAAATCGATTAATTTTAAAAATTTTTTTCCATTTTTTAAACCTTATTGATAAAGTGATGCGCAAATTGATGCTTAAATTTGTTATCAAACAATAATTTTTTCTTTCATTTATTTCCATTATTTAATTATTTCGAAAAAAAAAAAACTAATTAAATCAATAAAAGTAGTGAAAAAATGTTTCCATTCATTTGCAATTATCTTAAATTTGATATAAATTATAAAAATAAATTTAATATTTTGATTTCGCTTTTTTTTAATTAAAAAAAATTTTTATATTATACAATTTATTCCAATTCATTATTAATCAAAAATTTTCATTTTCAAAATGTAGCGTTCGTCATGGTGGGACCATGAAATGATGATGGCATGTACCACTAAAAAAGAATTTAATTTAAAAAAAAAAAAAAAAAAGAAAAACATATCTCTTTAAACTTACAATACGCAGTGCACTTTTTAGTTTGAAAATTTTTAAAAATGTAATTAAATTTTCCTAAATAATTTGCTAAACATTTTTATTTTGCATTTTATGAAACTTTGAAGAAAAACTTTTTTTTTTTCATAAATAATTGGCGGAATTAAAAAGTTCTGATAAAAATAAGTTTTTCCTTTTTATTTGTCAAATTTCAATCGTTTTTAAATTTTGTCAAAAAATTCATATAAATTTTGTAAAATAAAAAACCCAAAAATATATTACTTTTTTTTAATTTCACTTTTTTTTTTCATATTCAAATTTAATACTTTACATTTAATTAATGCTTTCTTTGACTTAACAAAGTTTACTTTAAAATCTTTTGATTATCAAAAGTTGTCACTCACAAAAAAAAAAAGAATAAATAATTTTAAAATTTCAATGATCAAATTTTTTATTGAAAATTAAATAATTATCAAACGCATTCAATTTTAATACGAAGTTTAATAGAAAGTATTTCAAATGAAAAAAAAAAACTTTCCATTTATGCAAATTTCTATTTATAATTTAATATTTCATAAAATTCATCTATAATCAATAAAATGAAATAATATTATTTGATTTTATTTGCTTTTTTTTGATCAAAATAATAAACATATTGTTGAGAATTAAAATTTGAAATTGTAATTAATTTCAACAATTGAAATTATTTGAAGTAATATTGCAGATTTAAGAAGTTAATGTATCAAACATTTCTTATTATAATTATAATCAATTATTTCGATCAAATATTAGCACAACCAACACAATTAGAACAAGAAGGTAAGTAAGTTATTAAATTATAAAGTAAATTCTTCACATGAATTTATGAGTATTTCAATCAATCATCTAAAGTAATCTTTTCCAATTAATTATGTTTTATCAATTTTCTATTAAATTAATATTAATTATTGTTTCCTTTTTCATAGAAAAAGAAAAGTAAATAAAATAATTTAAAATGTAAATTTCTACATTTTTGAGAGTAATAAAATCAAATATTGTATTTAGTGAATTATAATTTAAAAAAAAGAAGAAAAACAGCCAACGATCAAATGACAATCAAATATAACAAAATTTTAATGATTGAAAAAAAAAAAGAAGAAAACATTTTATACTAACAATGCAAAATATTTTTATTTATAAATCATAAAAATTATTGGTTAAAATTTTAGAAAAATTACTTTTACTCTCCAAACTAATATTTCAATTCGTTGTAATTTTTTAACTTTTTTATTTATGAATAATTTCATTTCATAAAAAGTTATAATCATTCAAATTTTTTTTTTTTTGTAAGTTTTTTATGTTTTTATTATGTTTTAAAATGTTTAAATTAATAAATTGTTGAAATATTTTACGGTATGAAATTTTCGTCTATTTTTAATATTAAATTATAATAAATTTGTCATATTTGATTGCATTTATCAAAATTTTTGCATTGATAAATTTCATTCATTGCTCAAATATAAATTATTTGAGTTTGCTTAAAATTTTAAAAACAAATTTTTTTAATTTCTTTTCTTTTTCTTTTTCTAGTAGTACATTTCTGTGATCCATCAATACCAAATACTTGCGGTTTGGAAGGAAAATGCATGCGACATTTAACCGGTAATCGGTGTCGTTGTCAAACCGGTCGTATGGGTATTATGTGTCGCAGTAAGTGGAATTTGAACTGTTTTGTACAATGTTTAAAGCATATTTAATACTTCGAACAAACTTTCCAATTCAATTTCAAATGAATTTACAACTTTCAAAAATGAATGTATCATAGAAGAAATAAGTTAAAATTGAATAGATATATAACAAAATAAAAAACAAAACAAAAAAAGAATATCAGAACTCAAATTAAATTTTTCATCCAAAAAAAAAAAAAAAATTAATTTCTAATTTGAAAAAAGAAATTTTAAATTTTTAGGACCCTGTCAAGATATTTATAAGTCATGTAAACGTTGGAAAGAAGAAGAACGATGTCATTGGGCTAAGCCAATTTTGCCATTTTTTGAAGATAATTGCGCGGAAAGTTGTGGCTTATGCCAAAATAATGGCCAATGTTAGTTTCATTTTTTTTTAAAAAAAAAAAAAAAAAACTTTAGTTTCATCTCTTTTTAATACCATTTCACTAATTTCTTTTTCGCTTTTTTTTTTGTAATAATATTTAGTAATATAATAATATCTAACATTCCTAAAATTCTGTTTAACATTTTTTTTTTTTTTTGTAGAATTATTAAAAAATGCATAATTTAAATAAATTATTGAAAGAACCGAAGTTCTTATTTAAATTTTTATTAAAATATGTTAAAGTTGGAAAAAATTTTATAAATTGTTTACTTAAATGATATCACTTATAAAAGAAGAAAAAAAAATTATTCTCGATATTTACCAACTTTTGAGTCAGAAAGTTTAGCAGTATTTATCATCTGATTGTCTTTTCTTTCTTTTTAATACCATTTTGAAATGAATTTATTTATTTAATCAAATTTTGATATGAATATTTTATATTTTGTTACATACTATAAAATCATCATTTAGTCATTATACTTAAAAAGAATTATCATTTTTATTTAAAATTATTGTTTTAAACTATGATTACTAGTTGAGAAATACTATTATCATTTATAAATTGAAATTTATCAACCTGAAAATAGCTGTAAAATGATTTCTTGTTATCATATGGGATCAGAAACTCGAAGTACTATTACTACTTGTGCTATAATTACCATTTTAAACCATATAAGTAAAGAAATTTATGTTAATTAATTAAATTTATAACTTCTAGCACTAAAAATATTCATTTTTCGATTCAGTAATAAATATAAGTAAGAATTTATGTTTTATATTTTTAGAATACTACATTGCTATTTTTTCTATCGATTTTTTTCTTTTTTTTTTTTTGCAAATTTATTTAGCAACTTTCAAATATCTGAAGAAGAAGAAGAAGAAAAAAGGAAAAGTAGACACAACAGGAAATTTAATAAAAAATATTTGAGAAAAGAAAGAAAAAGAACGTCGTTTTTTTATACGATCCATTATTATTTAACATATTTTGACCTAATTTGTAATGAAATCAGCAGAATATTCAAAACAATGTCAACTCAATACCTTCCATTAATTATTAATGTATTTTATATTATTAATATATTTTTATAATGTTAAATTGTTTTAAAAAATTTCATATTTTCCATAACATTATTTAGGGAAGATGCGAAATGAAATATTACTAAGTAATTGCCATTAAATTATTGTTTTTTACTATAAAAAGAATAGACAAATTTGGATTATATATCTATTTAATATTAAAATTTAAAAGACAAAATAAGCATAATAAAATTTGATTTATATATATATTCTCATAATTATTTATTTGAAATAATTGAAAATCTTACTGAATAATTTTTAGTACATTCGATCTATACATTATTTTATTTTCAAATATACTTTGAATGTTTATCAAATATTATTAGTTACTAATGATTTGGCACCATCAATAAATAATATTAACTTCACATTTTTTTTTTTTTTTAAGAAAATATTTTGCAAAGGATAAAAAAGTTATTCAATTTAAAGCTTTGACATTACAGTGTCCACTCTTATTGACATTAATTAATAAATTTGCTTGAAACTATATGATAATTTTAGCATTGAAGATACCACTACCGCCTATTCTTGAACCAATATCATGGATAATTGGTCGATGGGAAACGGAAACGTTAGCCGGTGACCGATTCCCGATATCATTTGAGCATCCATACAAGGAAATCTTGGATATTTCACTTACCGATGTACCAATGTTCGATCGTCCACCAGTTAATGTTTTGTTGGTGTTTTTTTTTTTTTGAAATATTTTTACATATGTTTTTCTTAATTGAATGGAAAAAAAAACATTCATTTTTATAAAATTTTTATGAAAAAAAAAAAAAACCCACCCATATAAAACGTTTGCACTACAGTATAATATTTTTCTTTCTAAAACATTACAGTATCTCATTCTTCATTACAGTACTAACTTTTTAATTTATAGCTTTCGCATTACAAAATTTTATTAAGATTGAAATTTGTTTCTAGTTGCTATTTAACACCTATAAGAAACTATGAAAAAAATTAAAAAAAAATTATTTGCATTTTGAAATATAAAACTTCCATTACAGTATCTCATTTTCGCTACAGTAACCAACCCTCAATTTATAGCTTTCGCATTACAGTACCTAATCAAAAAATTTTTGTTTCTATTAGCTATTAAGCATTTACAGGAAACCCCCCAAAAAAAAAAAAAAAAAAAAGACGAAAATTTGTTTAGCATTCGAGCATATACTAAGGAAGGATCAGAATACAATGAAGTTGGCTTCATGACTGGAAAACCATTCCGTGAATTAACTGGATTTCAGGAATACAATAAGTCATTAAACGGAAATGATCAAGTTGCTATTGAAATGGTCAGTAATACAGGTACTGGTCATTGCTCCAAAATAATTTTCAATATAAAAACTTTATATGATATGAATTTCTACTTTTTCATTCCTTATATTACATCTGCAATTTGAACAATTTTTCCGTCTCCTATAATGTATTTATAATTTAGAAATAATTTTTTCATTTTTTTCATCATATTTAAAAACTTAAATGCTCTTTCATTTCTTATATTATATTTATAATTCATGAAAATAAGCAATTATTATTTTATGCAAAGTAAACTTATATTCGTTTTTTAGATTTGTGCTTTTTATTATTTTTTTTTTTATACCGTATTTGGAATATTTACAAGAAATATGGAACTGCTTATAAAGCAAAAACAATGTTTTCAAAATGTAAAACTAACTTTATCCCATGGGATATAAAAGAAATTGAATTTCAACTGAATTATGAAAAAGGATGCAACAAAATATTTTAAAAGCAAAAAAAAAGAGAGAGAGAGGAAAAAATTTTTAATTTCTTATGTCAAATTAAAGTCTAAATAATATTATTTTTGAATAATTTCGCTAAATAAAATGGAATTGATAATTGTGTTTACAATTTTGGTTGCTAAATTTGCAAAAATAAGGTTTATAATTTTTAGTTATATATCAATTTGTAAGCATTGTAACTTTTATTAAATTTAGATAATAGATGAAAAGGGAAATCAGAAAGTCAAGAAAGTAAACATTGTAATAAGAATAAGAAAAGGAATAATTTACTCATTAACAATTTTTGAATCGAAAATTCACTCTATTCTTCTGTTATTATATTTAGTGAATGAAGTAATTGAATTGAGTTATTCGATCATTTAAAGTCATTAATATAAAAAAATATAATTCTGGTAATAATTCCTTTTGAATTCACTAATAAAACTTAATTTCAGCTTTGATATTACTCTTCTAACTAAATTATAAATTCAGTTAAGGATATCTATGGCTATTTTAGTTAATGTTTAAATCCATTAATAATACTTTGTTTTTTTTCATTAACTTTAATTATTTCCATATTAAAACTTCTATTTACTTAATATTAATACTTAATATTCGTTACCTTAAATAAAAAATTATAATTGAATAAATTTTCTGTTGTTTTCACTAGTTTTTATTCAATATTACACTTAAATTGAAACTAATATTTTTATGCATTTCTCCATTTACTATTTATTATTATTATTATTTATTATTATTATTACTTTTATTATTATTATTATTGCTACTACTATTACTATTATTATTATTAGTTATCACTGTTATTAATACCAATAAATAGTTATCATCATTATTACTAATAATGATTATCATTATTATTATTATTAATTATCACTACTATTATTGATTATTATTATTATTAATTATTAGAATTATTATTATTATTACTATTATTATTATTATTATTATTATTATTATTATTATTATTATTATTATTATTATTATTACTATTACTATTATTATTATTGAAGGCATAATAACAATTGAAGAAGGAATGCTACAAAATGGTGAAATTTTGCTCAGTTTAAAATACAAGCGTGCAACTCCAGCAGCTATTCATTATCTCTTAAAAAACGTAACAATTTTATCTTTTTTTTTTTCCTTTTAATTTTGACATCTCTTTTCCACCTTAAATTCAAAAATTTTTGTTCCGCAAAAAGTAGCAATTTCATTTCTTTTTTTTTTTTTTGCCTATTTTGAAATTGCTTGCATATTTTATGCTAACATGAATTTGAGTTAAAAAAAAAAATAATTGAAAAAGATAGTAGCATATTTAAATATTTAAATATGTTTATTTTATATGCGTATAGATGCTTTCTGGTATATTCCCGAGAGCTTTAAAACAATGAAAAAAAAATTTTTGAACTACTGCTAAAATTAACTAATGTAGTAATTGAAAGTCAGCTTTTTTTTTCTTTCGAAAAATGTTTAGCTTATGCTCAATTAAAATATTTTGTTCGATACGAAAAGATTTGTTTAAAATATTTTTTAAAAATTTTCAATTGCTAATACCATTAGGTTTTAATACAAAAATTTAGAATTATAATGAAAAAAAAAGTTTTGTTCATATGGAATAAATCGATAGTTATATAAAATGAAAAAATTTTTTAAATATTTTGAAAGAAAATCTAATTTTAAAACATAAAAAGACAAATAATTTTTTTTTTCATGTAGTCACGACGACTTTTCAAACTAAAAAATTGGAATATATTAGTGGAAAAAACATATATGGAATATTCAAATGGTACTATCCGGAAATGGATCAAACGATATCGAAGGACAAAAGATTATTTAATGGAATATTGAAAAAAAAAAAGTGAAATGGAAACAAAATAATAAAAATTAATAAATCTTACTTACCATTTCGAAACTACCTGATAAACTGATGGTATTCTTCACAGCATCCTAAAATGTATTTACTTTTTTTCTTTTACCTGACAAAAAAAATATTAAATTTTATGAAAAATTTCTGGATAATCCAGAAAAAAATAAACAAGAATTGTTAAGATTTAATAATGTTATCATTTATGGAATTCAGAAAACTGATATTGTAAAATTAATGATTAATAATTTTATGATTAATAATAATATTTATTTTAACAATGATATATTTTTAATTTGAAAATAGCTTTAATGAAATAAGCTATTATATTCTAAGCAAAATAAGTGTTTATTTTTCTTTTCTTCTTTTTTTTTTGAATACAAACAAAAGAAATATTTGTTTAATAAACTTGTAAATTTAAAAAAAAAAAAAAGATTTTTGTCATAATTTCATTTTCTTATTTTCTTTTTTGCTTGCTTATCTATGTAAATAAAATAAATCATTTTTTTTTCACTTTTTTTTTCTTCTTTTAAAATTTAAAAATTATATCAATTTTTTTCTTTATTTTTTCGTAAAGTTTAATTTGATTGTAAACAAATTTAAAATTTGAATATATATATTTTAATTTTGGAAGAAAGAAAGTTAATTAAGAAGAAAAAAATTGAATTAATTAATAAATTGAAATAATTACCAATTTAATAATTTGATATAGGAAAACACTCATTGTAACACTGATAATTTTATTTGGATGTATCACCGGTCGTGTACCTTTCTTATAATACTTTAACAAATCGCTATGTAATCGATAGGTCAAAGGTACATCACGTCGTTCCAATGGTTCATTATATTTTGTTTTATAGATTGTTGAATTGTTACAATTTGATGATAGTATTAGAGATGTTAGCAAAAATAAGAAATAAGTAAAATGCATCGAAATTATTGTCAGATTTTTGATAATTTATGATAAATTATAAATTTTGATTTGATTATTTGAATAATAGAAATCCAACAAAACCAAATGTGAAATATCATTTTTCGATTAATAGCTGCAAAAAAAGGAAAAAGAAAAGAAATGAGAAATGAATTGGAAATTTTTGAATAAATTGAACAAATTAATCAATGAAAAATAATGAATAAACGAAATGCATCAAAAATATTATCAGAATTTGAGTGATTTTTGATAAATTACAAATTTTTCAATTAATAATTTTTCTAACTGAATGATAGCAATTAGAAAAAAAAATCCATATATGAAATATCAATTTTTAATTAAAAGCAGCAAAAAAAAAAGAAAAGAAATTAGACAAATCAAAAAGAAAATTTCAGTAATTAAATTTCACAACTTTTTAGGTTTTTTTCTTTTATTTTTAGAAAAATAAAAAACAAAAGATAGGAAAAAAGTTTGCATTTTTTGAACAAAAAATAAGCAAAAAAAGAAGAATGAAAAAGAAAAAAATTGAAGAAAAACAACTGAATAATGCGTTTTGTTTTAGAATTTATGAATGATATGAGCAATTGATGCGAAAAAGAAAAAGCAAACAAAAAATAAAACTTTTTATATTTCTTTTGTTTTCTTTGAAAGAAAATTATTATGTCAAGAAAATGAACAAAAGGTAATAAAAGAGTGTTTGTTATTTTCGTTCAATCATTTTTTTTTCTTTTTTTGAAAAAGTTTTGTTTTGATTTTTTGAAAAGTTTTTGATAAAAAGATAGATCTGATAATGAGTGAGAAACGGTTTGAGGTAACGAATTGACTGACGGATTAATGGATGGATGGATAAATTGGTAGACGGTAAGCGGATTTGTGGACGGATGGATGATGGAGGGTTGGTAGGTGGACGGAAGGATGGATAAACGGATAGATAGATGGATGGATGAACGGATAGGTAAATTGCTAGACGGGCGGACATACGGAATGGTGGACGGATAGATGAATGCAGAACGGATGGACCGGCGGATGAAATGAGAAGATGGACGGAGTGGTGTGACGGCGGATGGACGGGGACGGATTGGTAAGCCAATGAATGGATGCAAGGGTGGACGGATGGACGAATAAATGCAAGAATGGACAGACAACGGATGGACGGTCGGACGGACGGATGGACGAACGGTCAGATGCAAGTGTGGACGGACGGATGGACGGATAAATGGATAGACGGATGGATGAATGAATGAATAATGGATAGATGGATGGTTGGTTGGGTGGATGAAATAAATGGAGGATGGATGGATAAGGATAAATAACGCAGCGGAATGAGAATATGGGTAATACTAGAAGGGATGCAGTATTGAAAAGAGAGATGGAAAGGGAAAAAGGGAGAGAGAGAGAGAGAGAGAGAGAGAGAGGACAAAAAAAAAGACAAACAAAATCAAAAATTGGTGAAATTGGAATAGTTATGGGCCAGTTAAAAGCATTGATTCATTAAAAGACAAACAAAATGTTTTGAGTGTTATGTAAATATAAATATGTGAAAGAGGAGAGAGAGAGAGAGAGAGAGAGAGAGATTTGCTTGGAAGATGAAAAAAGTTTTTAAAAATGCTCAAACATTTATTGCTTTTTCATTTTCTTTTCTTTCTTTCTTTCCTTTTATTTTCTTATCTTTTCATACTTTTCATTTCATTTCAATTGTTATTTTCAATTTTTAAAAAATATTATTTTTTTTTTTCTAAAATATGAAAAATATTCTCATATCATTTCATTTATCATTTAACTTTATTATAATATTTATTTATCAAACTTTCCATCATAATATTTGTGTTTTTTTTTTTTTTGAAACTTAATATTTATTAAAAATTAAAGTTATTTTACTATACATACAATAAAATGTTTTTATATATATTTGTATTTGAATGTGAAAAAAATGATATAAGTTTTATTAATTTAAAACTTATAGCAGTAAAAGGAAAGTTTTTTCTTTCAATGCAACAAAAAGAACAAAAAAATTAATTTGTAAAAAGCAAAAAAAAAAAATTTTAATTTTTTATTTAATTTTAGCAAAATTTTATCACAAAAATTTTCAAATTTGTGCTAAAATTTACTTATCATTTTCAAATTTAAATTTGATAAGTAAATTGATGAGATTTAAAAATATGCCATTGGAAAAAGTCGTTTCAAAATTCAGTTCAAAAATTATTAAACAGCAAATATGTCTAAATAAAAGCTACAAATACAGACAAAAGTTTTAAAAAAAGAAATTTTTTTTTTTTTTATAAAGTATAGAGAAAAAGTAAATTAATATTTATTAATTATTATTGAAATTTAATACTTACAATAACACATAACAGTGCATTGCAATAAAGAAAAAAGTAAAAACAAAGGAAAGAAAAAGTGTAAAAAATGAAATCTTTCAATAATTTTATCATAATTTATTAACACATAATTCATTCATTAATAATAAGTAATTAAATTTTTATTTTGTATTAAAAACATTCAAATCAATAAAAACTGAGCATATTTGCACTGTTATTTATTTTCATTAACACATCGTACATTTTACAAATTATCATAATTAATTACTGTATTAATTTAATCTAAACAAGATGGATAAGAATTCATAAATTAATACTAATTGCAAATTGGAATCAATTAATTAAAAAATTAATTTTAAGAGTTGAAAATTTGAAAATAACATGTTTTTCCAATTAAAATAAACGATGGATTACACTGCATGCAAATGAATTTAATTAATTAAAAAAAATTTATTTGAAAGTTAAAAATTTGAAAATTTTATATTTTCATCACTGTCAATTTATTTGTACATATGTATTTTTGTTTATCAGATCAAAATCACCGAAAGTATCGGATGAGATCATGCCAAAAACATGATTTCATATTTTCAAAACGATCGAAGCATGGAAGAAATGATATATCCAATTGTGTTATTTGACCTAAAATAAACAATTAAAATTAAAAAGTAAATAAAAAGAATTGATCGATAGAGCACTTTGATTGCTGTAACTTTTAAGGTAAAAGAAAAAAAACTAAATTATAAAATGAATTAAAAAAATATAAAAAAAAAACATTATTAAAAAATATATATATAAATTAAAAAATATATATTATTAAAAAATATATAAAAAATAAAATTTGCAACAAATTTTTAAAATTATTTAAAATAATATTTTGTTCTACCAATCTAATAAATTTGCTACAGTGGTAAACAAATAAGATACACTTAGATTATTTAATAAAAAATATAAATAATCTTTTTTTATTATTTTCAGCAATTTATACTTAGATATTTGATAATTAAAAACAGAATATTAACTTTATTAAAAATGTTATATTGAAAATTTTCAAATTTTCAATTTATTTATTATATTTCATTTTTCTTTTTGAAATGAAATTTCAAAGTAGATTAATTTGATATATTACGAAAAATCTTCAAATTATCAAATTAAATAGACAATTTTTGCTTTAATTTAAATTTAAATTACTCTATCTTCCATTAGCACTTTCATTTATTTCTAATATGCTTTATATATTAATTTAATAATTAATTAATAAGTTTTTTTCACTTCTTACAAGTGATTTGGATGCTAAAAGTACTAATGTATGAAATAAAAATAATTAAAAATTTAGTAATGAAAAATTAAAAGGAGCAAAAAAAATTTTTATTGTATAATTAAGTTAAATATTTTCAATTTATTCACTTTAAAAATTTATATTTAAAAAAAAAAATAGTGCTTTACCAGGCCTTTGATCACAGAATGTGAGACATTTTGCGCCAGCTAATGTTGTCGTTATACCGTTCCGCAAGCAGCATGGTCGATGATCACGACCTTGCGCAGCGCAAAATTGCATCTCTCTCATTGCTTTTATTGGACATGAATCTTGATGCAAATACATTAACATTAACTGAAATATATAAAAATTTACAACATTAATTTTATTCTTTAAATGCTATAGCAATTGTCATTTTAATAATAAATAAATATATTTATAAAATAGAGATTAAATATTTGTTAAATATAAATTTTTGAATTTTTAAATTTTGATGGTAAAAAGAAAGAAGAAGAGAAGGACAGAAAGTGGATGTATGTCAAATGAAGTATCTCATATCGGCGCATTTGTAATATCTTTTCAAAACATGACAATTACATCATCATTAAAGTCTTAAAGATTGTCAACGATTTACCAAATGATTCTATCAAATAATTCTATTTTTGAAAATAAAAAAAAATTTGTTTTTTTTTTTGGCTAAAATATGAATAAAAAGAAAGAAAATAAAATTGTTTGAATTTTTAAAAATTTCTATTTTTAATCTTTTTTTCCAAAAAAAAGACAAAAATTTTTACTCAATTGTAGTTTTATAAAAATTTCTAGTTTTTTTCTTCGTTTTTGTTTAATTATAATATAATAAAAATATTTCGTAAAATAAATGAAAAAAAGATTTTTTTTTTTTAAAAAAAAGTTAAATGAAAATATAAAAAGATACAGATTGTTGATTGTAATAATTAAAATTGCATTTATTAAGACAAGCATCTGGCAATTTTCGATCCATGCAACACTCCAAAAATGCTTCATTTGGATCCTGAAATTTTTATTTTTATTTTTTTTCATTTAAAAAAAGGAACAAATTTGAAATTTATATTTAAATTAAAAATTTACAAACTTGTTTATGCGAATTTATAAAGTATAATTAAGATGTATTATATGCACACAAATATGTTTGCATGTATAATTAATTAATTCTTTATGCTAATTATTGCATTTGTTGTAAACAGTATTTAAAATTAAACTCCTCTACAGTCATAATAAATAGTTTTAAAAGTTGAAAATGCTTGAAATTATTTAAATTTTAAATATTTTTTAATAATTATAAAATTTGCTTCCTTTTTAGTTTTAAAACAACAAAATTGCATATTTTACATTTAACAATTAATACTATAAAATTTTGTAATTCTTAATTTTGTCTGATTTTTTTCTAAAAAAATGAAAAATGTTGTTTATTTTATTTTTTAAATTTATTTTCGTACTTAAATTAGTAACAATGTAAAATAATAATTGAAATTTGGATTATACATTGATTTACTATTCATAATTATAAGTTAATTTTACATAAATTAGTCATAAAATTTAAAAATTTTAATTATTCTCTTCTAAAATGCTAAAAATGGAATTAGAAAAAAATTTTTAAAACATAAACATAATATTATTTTTATCAAAATTAAAAGTGATGGATTTTTCCTTTAAATATAAAAGAAAAATTAAGCATATTTTATAATTCAAATAATATCAAATCTTTTGCATTTTAAAAACAAAAAAAAAAATCTTTGAAATAATCTATTAAAATTTGAATTTATTTGAATATGTAAATAATAAGAAATGAAAAATAATCAACTAAATGTTCCAATTTAAATTAATTTAAATAAGAAATGAAAAATAATCAACTAAATGTTCTAATTTAAATTAATTTAAATAAGAAATGAAAAATAATCAACCTGAAATGTTCTAATTTAAATTAATTTAAATAAGAAATGAAAAATAATCAACCTGAAATGTTCTAATTTAAATTAATTTAAATAAGAAATGAAAAATAATCAACCTGAAATGTTCTAATTTAAATTAATTTAAATAAGAAATGAAAAATAATCAACCTAAAATGTTCTAATTTAAATTAATTTAAATAAGAAATGAAAAATAATCAACCTAAAATGTTCTAATTTAAATTAATTTAAATAAGAAATGAAAAATAATCAACCTGAAATGTTCTAATTTAAATTAATTTAAATAAGAAATGAAAAATAATCAACCTGAAATGTTCTAATTTAAATTAATTTAAATAAGAAATGAAAAATAATCAACTAAATGTTCTAATTTAAATTAATTTAAATAAGAAATGAAAAATAATCAACCTGAAATGTTCTAATTTAAATTAATTTAAATATGAAATGAAAAATAATCAACCTGAAATGTTCGTCCTTTAATTGGTAATTCAGCAGCTGTTGGCGATGCCATTGCAAGCATACGTCGCTCATCTAATGCTCTTAATGGTTTACTATTTCTAAAAATTAATTTATTCATTAAGTTACTTTAAAAAAAAAAAAAATTCATTTCAAATTTTTTGAATAAAATATTTTTAAAAAAAATAAAATTTCATAAAATTAATTTTTTTCTTAAAATAATATTTTCAAAAATACAAAAAGAAAAATAAATTTTAAGATGAAAGAATTATTTAAAAAGAAACAATACTATCATACCTATATTTAAATTGATTAAATGGTATGAGTAATGGCGATGAGTCATGCATTTTACTCTCTAACATTGATTGTGGTCTTTTTGACCATTGATTATCATTATCAAGCATTGATAACATTAAATTTTTTGACGCACGTGCACGCAACTTATAACAGCCGTACTGTCCGCAATCATATGACGGCGGACAATTGCAAATTACTGATTGCGCCATTTGTACCGGTTGACAGTACGCCATTCCGCCGCCGCATATTCCATTTGCATAGCACTGCGACAATTATAATTGATAATTCTTTCTTTGCTTTTTTTTTTTTTTCAAAAAATATTTTTTTTATCAAAAATATTTTGAATAGAAATGAAAAATTTTTTCAAATTTTATAATTTAAAATTTTTATTTTAAATAATTAAAAGGAAAAAAAAAGCGCACCGAATTAAAAGTTAAATTATGAAAAAAAAAAAAGTAACATTAAAGTATATTTGTCTTTTTTTTTTTGAGAATAACGTTTAAAGATTTTTACATTTTATTTTTATATATTTTTCATTTTAATTTTATTCTAAAAGTTTTTTTTTCTCGCTTTTCATTCATTATAATATAAATTTAATTAATATGCGATTATTTCAGAGATTTTTAAATCATTTATTAAAATTGAAAATATTTTAAAAATAAAAATTGAAACTTTAAAAAAAAAAACAAACGAAAATTTTACCGCAAAAATAATGGATGGTAATGAAAATGTAAGTGTAATTATAAATGTAAATTTCATGATATTTGTTTTCATTTCAAATATGTTCAATATTGTTTATTAACTGAAAATAGAAAGAGAAAAAAAAAATTAAAATTAATATTTTTAAAAATTAAAAAAAAAAAAACGAAAATGTCGTTCAATTTTTCAATGCATAAATTATTTTAATGCATAATTGCTATGCTAACAATTACTTATTTTACTACTACAATAATTATTTATTTTAGTACTAAAATACATTCTTATTATCAGTTTTAATTTTTTAATTTTTACATTAAAAGGAAATAATAAACATTTCACACGAAAATTTTAAATATTAGAAAGTGTCAATTAATCTTTTCAATGTACAAATTATTTTCATACGTAATCGATACGCTAACAATTACTTATTTTACTGTTGCAATAAGAATAGTAAAAAAAATTGTAGTGGCAAAGTATATTGTAATAATAAAATAAATAATTGTTAACATACCAATTACGCTATTATTACGTTTCGTTATTTGTAATTTTTACGTCAAAAAAAATAGTATTTCACGTAAACATTATAAATATTAAAAAACGTTAGTCAATATTTCCTAAAGTAAATAAATGTTTAAAATAATTTTTTTTCCCAAAAAAAATTGGAAGAATGAAAAAGTTAAATAAATGTAATAAAATTTGAGGGAAATTTAAATCTGTAATAAATGATATGAAGTAAATATATTTTATTAAAAGTGTATAATAAATAAAAATATTAATGGCTTATCATAACTTATCAATAATATGTATTTAATTATTTAATTATATATTTAATTACATATTAATATCACAGATGAAATAAAGAATTAATTTAAAAATCAGTACTATTATATAACATATTATTTCAGTTATATTAAGAAAAAACAAATATGTAATAATAAATAACATAAGCTAATTTGTAAAATTGAACTTAATAAATTTAAAACTTTAATAAAATATTTAAAATTTTCAAAAATATATGCAAGACAAACATATCTAACAAAATTAAAAGAAAAGAAAAATAATTTATCAATAGAAATTATAAAATATGAAATAAGAAATAAATGAACAATGTTTTTAATTATTATTTGTAAATTAAATTTTTCTTCTGAAATAAAAATTAAAATAAAAATAGATTAAATTTGAAAAAATAATGTTATAAACAATAATGAAAGTTCACAAAATTGATTATTGTACTGCCAAGAAAATAAAATTGTTGTAAAATTTATAATTAAAAAGTTTAATTAAAATCAAATCAACTATAAATTTAAGCAAAATAATGAAACAAAAATTTTTTCTTTTCTATTTATGCAAAACAAATAAAAATTAAAATTTTTAAAAAATAATTAATTGAGATTAAATTAACCATAATTTAAGTATGATTATAACATTACGAATGATACAAAAAGTTTTTTCCTTAATTTACATAAAACAAAAGGAATAAATTTTTTTAAAAAGAAGAAGAAAACAATTTCAATATGTTTTATAAATTTTCAATTATAATCTAAAATATCTATCATATTTCATATTTTTAATTTAACATTTTAATTTTTCTAATTTCTATTTTTTAGTTTTATTTTTTAATTATTACAAATATCAAAGTAAAAAAAAATTTTTTGTGAGAAATTTATATTCGTATGCGCAATCATATTCAAATTTAATTAAAAAAAAAAAAAATTCTTTCAAAATAATATTTTAGTTTTTTTTTTACTTTTTAAGCTCAATAAACATTATTTTAACATTTAATCAAAAAGTTGTTTATTTCAATTTTTTTTATCTTTTTAACATAATATTTTAGACAACAAAATAAGCATACAATTGATATTTAATTAAAAATTAAATTAATGAATTAAAAATAAAAATTACTAAAAATGAGTTCAATAAATTGCTATAACAATTATTATTGTTATTAGTACATAAAGTTGACATATGACATTAGTGGCATTTTAGTTTGACTTACAAAAGAGAGAGATTCAGGTCAATCTGATATGGCCATTTGACGATGGATGGATGAGGAAATGGGCGGAGGGATGAATTGTTCATCGACCAGTTCTCTCATTAACCGGACCGGTTTTACGGATTACAATCAATGATTGGAATGGGTCAAGTTTGCATTGAAGCAAATGAAATGAAATGTAAAAGTGGTTGTTGAAATTTGCATAAAATATAAGTGAAAATATTTGATAATAGAATTATAGGATATAAAATTTTTCAAATAAATATGTACTGTTAAAATATTATTAATATTTAATTAACAATTTATTTTTCAAAAAAAAAAAAAACAAAGAAGTAAACAAATAAACAAACAAATAAATAAATAAAGAGTAAAGAACTTAACTTTTGTATGTTTTTCTCTTTTGTATTTTTTATTAAAACTAATAAAAATTAAACCAATTAATAATTTTATTATTTGCAAAAAGAAAAGTGCAATGGAATTTATTTATTTTTTTATAATTTATTCTATTTTTTTTATAATAATTGAAACAAATAAGCAGTTAATAATTTAAAAAAAAAAGAATAAAAAGTAATATTATAAGAAATAGAAAGGAATAAAATAATTATTAAAAACAATTAAAAAGCAAAAAAAAAAAGTTGAAATGAGTTTATCAAAATTATAAAAAAGAAAAAAAAATATATAAAACAATGTTTTTTGAAAAGTTTTTACTTTCTAAATATAATTAAAAACAGTTAAAAATTATTTATTAATCGATTTTGTATTTTTTAATTTCTGAATTATTTCATTAGCAATAGACTAAAGTAATTAATTAATATTAGTTCTATATAATAATACATTTTAACAAAAAAAAAAAAAGGGAATAAAAAAAATTAATTAGGGATATTATTAATTAGTATAACAAATATAATTAGAAATAAATGTTTTCCAATAATTTTCCAAGAATTATTCATTTTATTAAATTTAATTTGCGTAAATGATGCAATAAACATTTCCGATTAACAATTATTATTGTTTATTTAATTATTCAAAGAAAATATTTGAATGCTTATAATTTAATCACATTGTTTTTAAAATTAATTATTTAATTATTATTTTAAAAAAAATTAGTATTTTCATCAAAAATCTTTTACCCATAGCTTGGGGAAAAAAAGAAGATAGAATATATCGCTAAAATTTGCAACATAAATAAATAAAAACAAATAAATAATAACATATAAAATAATATAATAAAAAAAATTAAATTTGCAATATAAATAAAAATTTGCAATATAAATAAATAAAACAAATAAATAATAACATAAAACATAATATAATAAAAAAAATTAATAATAACATAATATAATAGTAAATTAAGACTCTGATAAATAAATTAATTAATTAATTAATTAGATACACAGGCAATAGCACTAACAATTAAATAAATTAATTAAATAAATGGGTTAAACTTTTATCAGTTTAATCATTTTCAATTCTTCATACTAATAATATTTACTGCTACGAATATTTGTCAATAACAATAATTGCTCTAACAAGAATTTGCTGCAACATTAACATAATAGTAGTAGCAAATAATTAATAAGCAAACATGTCAGACGTAAAAGTTAAGCATTTTATTAATACATTAAAATTATTGTATAATCAGCAAGCAATTACGCATTACATTTGAAATTCTCAACAAATAACTTTCCCATTCTCTTTTTTCTTCTTTTCCCTCTCCCTCTCCCTCTCCCTCTCTCTCTCTCTCTTCTTGAAATAAAAAAGTTTCTTTCTGTCCACTTTTTCGCATTCTAATAAATATTTTAAAATGCATGTAAAATAAACAAAATTTTACTTAAATGACAACAATGCAAAAAAAAAAAAAAAAAAGGTGGAAATTGATAAATGTAAACAAAATATTGGATTGAAATTCGTGACAATTTTATTTATTGTTTGTTCCAAATTTTTTTTTCCTTTTTTTTTTTGAAAAAAAAAAGAGTAAAAATAAATCGATTTGATGAATTATTCCCATAAGAATAAAATTCTTTGCCAAAAAAAAATTAAAAAAAAAAAAACAAAAACGAAAAAAAAAGTTAAGAAAACATTTTTATTGGTTGTAAATCTTTGAAAAAAAAAAAAAAAAAGGAAATGTTAGAAGATAATTCGATTGTAAATTTTTTTTTGAATTGCAAAAAAAAAGAAAAATAAAATGTGTAAATTTAAGAAACTTAAAAAATAAAAATAAATTACTAATTTTTCAATACTTTTTTTTCAGCATTATGCATTGAAGAAGCTAATTTTAAGCATAAAATTGATGAAAATTTTCAATTTTGTGATATTTGAAAAAAAGTTATTTTTACATCAAAAATTGAAATTGGAATTTTTATTTATCATTTATTTGTTCATTAATTTTGATTTATTTATTTATTGGATTTTATTTATCATTAAAATTAGATTTTCCACTCTCATTATTCGATTTTTTTTTTTGCATTATTTTAAATTGAAATCTAAATTCTACAGTTATCCAGCGATATCTAATATTTAATAGAAACTCAAAAAAAAAAAATAAACAAATAAATAAATAAATCAATACAAACATTAATTTTTTATCTTTTTAAACTTTTTCAATCACATTTTATCGTTTTAATAAAGTGTATCAATTTCTTATATAAATTAATGTGTAATCTAACTTTTTAAAATAATTTAGAAAGGAATTATCACTAAGTATTGAAATACTAAGGGATTTGGATCAATTGCTAAAATTATATTTTTTGGAAGTTCACAAAAAAAGCAGACACAATTATTTAAATCATTTTCAGAGGCTACTGAATAGTAATAGCAATAGTTTATAAATGTAATAAGGTAATACAATATTAATAATAATAATAATAATAATAATAATAATGGTGATAATGATGATAACAATAGAAATAATAGCAACAATAATAATAATAGCAATAATAATGAAGGTAATAATGATGATAAAAATAGAAATAATAGCAATAATAATAATAGAAATAATAACAGCAATATCAGTAACAACAATAATAAGAATAATAATGATAATAATAACAATACTAATAACAAGAATAATAGTAATAATAATAACAGTAATATCAGTAACAACAATAATAAGAATAATAATGATAATAATAACAATACTAATAACAAGAATAATAGTAATAATAATAACAGTAATATCAGTAACAACAATAATAAGAATAATAATGATAATAATAACAATACTAATAACAAGAATAATAGTAATAATAATAACAGTAATATCAGTAACAACAATAATAAGAATAATAATGATAATAATAACAATACTAATAACAAGAATAATAGTAATAATAATAACAGTAATATCAGTAACAACAATAATAAGAATAATAATGATAATAATAACAATACTAATAACAAGAATAATAGTAATAATAAGAACAGTAATATCAGTAACAATCAATGGTAATAACAATGTTAGTATTGAAATAATCAAAATTACTGACAATAATAATGGCAATAAAATAATTTGATAATAATTAATAAAAGTAACAATTATTTCATTTTAGTTCTAAGAAACACTTTGATTTTTTCATTTTTAAATCGCATTAAAATTTGAATAAAATGAAATAAAATTCACTTAAAATGATTAATTTAATATTCCTGGGAATAAAATAAATGGATGGATTAAATAATAAAAATAAAAATTCAGTTAACACTAGAAAATATGAGAAATTCGAAAAAGTATTAAAGAATTAGGTTACACTACGAAAATAATTGATAGCAAAAGTAAATTTAAATAATACTTTAAGATAATAAAAATGTATGAAATTGAAATTTCATTCATATTTGATGTTATTAAGTAATAAATATGAATAAATTGAAATTAGTTTACTGCCAGTTTAGTTGCATTTTTTCCCTTTGAAATAGTTTTTATAAAAATTTAAAAATGCAATATTTTATTCAAATTCTTTTTTTTTTTTTTTGAGTCGTAGTTTTCCTTTTTATTTTGATTGTAAATTATGCGTAAAAATTTTGTATCATTTTCAAAAAATGAAAAAAAAAAAAAAAAAATGAAAAATGAATTACATTTTCATTTTCTTTTTATCATTCATATAAAACTTAGTTTCCTTTTTTTTTTTTGAAAAAAATTTTATTGTTAAAAATCCAGTTTACAAATCATACAATTTCGAATTAAAAAAAGAAAAAATAAAATGAAAATGAAAGAGAAAAAAAAAAAGGCAAATTATATTTTATTTTATTTTTATGGAATTTAATTTCCTTTTTTTAATTTCCTTTTTTTTTTTCTAACTTTAATCATATGCAATGTAATGTTTATTTAGTGAAATTAATCATTTTATCAATATATTTTATTACATTTTTTTCTTTTTGCTTTTATTTATTTTTCAACAAAAATTTTTTTTAGCCAAAAAAAAAGATTAAAATTGTAAAATAATTTAAATTCTTGTTTTTGTTATTTGTTGTTGTTATTGCTATTTTACATTTAAGAATGTTTTTTTTTTTTTTTGCCTCTTTTCTATCAAATAATTATAGCAATTTTGAGTAAAAATTTTTTTTTAATTCCTTTTTTTTTTTTGAAAATTTTGAGCTAAGGAAAAAAAAAATACAAATTTCAAAAACTATGAATCATTGTTAAATTTGCTAAATAATTTAATACATATAATATAGTAAAAGGAGGAAAATAGAGAGAGAGAGAGAGAGAGAGAAGAATATGATAAGGTAAAATAGTTGGAGGAAAAAACGAGTGAAATGGAATAATTTGAAAAAAAAAGGTAAAAAAGAAATTTTTCGTCTAGTTATTTATAGTAATTTAACTCTAACTGATATGAAAAATCATTTGAAAAAAATATTAATAATAAAAGAAAATATAATCATTAAATAATTAATTAATAAATAAATTAAACAAAAGGTAAGTAAGAAATTAATTGCTAATATTTCTTTTTAAACATTAAAATTTATATAATCTTCAAAAAAATCTTTTTTTTAGGTTTTGTAACAATTATTACATCGTCAAATGGCTTATTAAAATAAATTTAATGATTTAATTCTATTTTTAAAATTTACAAGCAAATAATCGTTATTGACTAATATGACAAGATTGATTTAAATTTTAAATTTTAATTTTATGCCAACAAATTTTACTTTCAAATTATACATAGCTGATAATAAATTATGTTCCATATCAGATTAATATAATATTTATCACAATTAATAGGATTACATTGTTATTAAAATAGCTATGCCACCTTTAAATCAATAATTAATTATTCAATTTTGATAGAAATGCAAAATTATACATTTGTTTACATTTGATTAGTTTAAATTTTTTGATGTTACTAATAATATATTATAATACAATTTATTATTTTAATTATTTTGTAAGTATTTCTCATTTTTAATTGATCAAAATTTTTTGAAAAAAAGAAAGAAAAGCAAAGAATTCAATCTGTAAAAAGAAAAAACAAATATTTTTAATGTTTAACATAGATTTGCTATGCAATTAAATTTAAAAATTTCCATAAAATATTACATTTACGTATTTTGTGATAAATCAAAAAGTTTTTTGTTTTTGTATTTCATTTCAAATACAATTTGTGATATGCAAGAAAATTTATGTATAATTTATTTTAGATAAAAATTGCAGTAAAATATAATAAAAAAAAGTTTTACTTATGTTTTATTTAAGAGTATAAATTGTAAAAACATTAAAGCTAATTTATGGTTCATTTTAAAAATAAAATACACAAATGTCTAATTAATTCTTATCATTGAAGTAAACTTTCAATGTAGAAAATTATTAAATTTGCAATTATAAATGATTTCGATCATTTTTTGATATTAAAATTAAATTTGATCACAGTTCTAGACACGGATCTTTAAGAAATTCCGATAATTCCTAATATTTTTTATGAATTTAATACAAAAAAAAAAAAAACTTTAATTTTTTCTAAATTCTGTTTTAATTAAGTGTCAAAGACGTGAGAAAAATATAATTCATTTAAAAATAAATAAATTTTGAACTTAATTGAAAAAGATGTAATCAAATATAAAGTGAGAGATCCAAGCTCTAAATCCAGAATTTAATCGTTTAATAAATTCCATATAATTGGGTCTAATAAAGTTTTACTTCTGCAGTAGCAATAACCGTATTTAATGACTGCAACTTCCGCAACAGATTTTTTTCGAATCCGGATAACTGATTCATTCACTTTTAACTTCTACTCATAGGTTTCAATTCTAAAGCCGGCTTATCATGCACTGCTTCAACTTGAAGCTTCATTATATGGTCCAGAAAATTGAAACTTATCTCAAGTCAGAAAAATGTTAAATTAAATTAGATCATTTGTAGATTCTCTTATTCCACATCTAACCTTATGGAACTTCGACACTCCATGACCATATGGTTAAATATTTGAAATACTCCAAACATTTAAGTACAAAATGGCCTCTATAATACAGATGGGATGAAGCATCCTAATATTTTATTATTCCATTATTTCATTTATTATATTATGAATAAGACTTATGGTTACATTACAGGTTTAAGTTTACATTGTTGATTTTACTAAAATGAATATCAATGATATATTTTTACTGAAAATTTAAGCAGCGCTTCCAAAAAAAAAAAAAAAAAAAACAACACAAATGCATACAGTGACGGATAATACATCCTCTACGGCCACAAAAGTATTTTCATATGAGCATAAAAAATTTACTTAAAACTAATGCATATAAAAAGACAAGTAAATGCATATAAAAAAGACACTTTGTTAAGGCAAGAAAAAGGTAGCAAAAATAACGCAGTACTTGAAGGAAAGGAAAAGAAGTAGAATAATATTATAAATACATTTAAAAAATAAAAAAAATATGAAAAAGAGGTAAAAATCGAAATCAGACATATCAGTATATAGAATAACAATTGGAAATATCAAAATGGTGGTAGTATAAAACAGTTTGGGAATATAATTCATGGAAAGACGAGAAATAGAATGCTTAAGAAAAGAGCAATATAAATTATAAACATAAGTGACTTCATATTACAAATAAAAACTTTTCTACTTAATATTTTAATTGATTAACGAATGAAAAATGAAAAAATAAATTAGTAATTAATTGAGTAGGATAATACTATAAATATATCAGAAAAAATATAATATGAAATGGATCAAAAATTAATTCGGACCAATCACTGTTCAAGCCTTATAAAGAGGGCATAAAACAGAGAATTTACATTAGATCTCATCAAATGTCGTTTGTACACATAACTCTAAAATATTGATAAAAAAAACAATTGGACATTAATGTGCAAACTCATATATTTTTTTTATTTATAAAAAAGAAATCTTCATGATATAAATTACCTAATGCTTTGTCTTTTGTCTTTTTTCTTGGAGAAATATGTCATTAGAAAGAATCCTATGCTTGCTTTTTCAAAATAAATCACGTAATATTGACTAAGTTTTGAAGTCTGTAAAATTTAATGAATCGGTTACATATTATACAAAAAAAAAAAATTCACCTTATGACTAGAATGAAAAGGAAGAAAAAAACTACGTTATTCTTTCCACGTGAACTATACAGTTTCGAGATTTCTAGTGATATTCATCATTGAACATATTACTGATGGATCGCAAGCTTTCTTCAAGAATTCATGATTTAATAGTTGGGATGCTGTAGCACGCTGTTTCACATCACGAACCAACATTTGCGAAATAAATGAAGCTAATTCAGGTGAAACCTATGAAAAAATGCGAAATGAACAATAAACAGTGTTATTTGAGTCACCACCACTAATTTGTTGTTTCCTACAGAATTTACAAACCATTTTATTTTACATTAAATTTAGAATTCAAAACGCAAAAAAAGCACAATACTTACGTTCACAGGTTCATTAATTTTTGGCGGTCCATTATCACGAATCATTTTCATTGCTTGTAAAGGTTGAACATTAAAAAGTGGCGGTTCTCCCTGTACCATTTCGATGACCATTATGCCTAATGACCAAATGTCAGCTTCAGTACCGTATGGCAACCTACTTATTACCTGAACGGAAATTCTTTTTATTTCTATAATTTTAAAACAAATGAATCAAACAAAGAAAAAGAACAACTGTTAATTATATATTCTTACTATTAAAATTTGAATAGTTTTTGCTTACAAAGTACCACTGAAATAAGAAGTAAGTACAAATTGCTGCGTAAACAAATAAAATAACCTCCGGTGACATCCAATATGGCGTTCCAACAAGGCTACGCCGCTGTGGTATATCAACCGATAACTGACCACAGAAACCAAAATCAGAAATCTTTGCCACACCGTCTTTTGTGAGTAATATTGAATCACTTTTAATATCACGATGTACGACGCCTTTGGAGTGTAAATATTCTAGCGCTTTCAAGCATTGCACACAAATGGTTGCTATTGCTGGTTCATCGATTCTGAAATAAAAAGTAAAAATGGTTAGAATGCAAGTAATTAAAGATACTCCTCCTGCTTTAAAAAATTTATAAGATATCAAACCATGCTTACTGAATATACAGAAAAATAAATGCCATTAAATTTGCACCAAATATTTACTGAAATTTTGTTACAAAACCAGCTATGCAAACCTCATCTGGGTAATAATGTCAGTTAGTGCACCGCCTTCCATATATTCCATCAGTACCCACAATTCATCACCTACCAAATAGGAACCATACATTTCAACAACGTTAGGATGCTCGTAATCACGCATAATTAAAACCTTAAAAATACTTTTCTTTCAAAAAAGAAATGCAGAGAAATCATGAAAATTGTGAAAAGCAAGTTTAATTTAAATAATTCCAATCTTTTACCTCATTAAATAACAACTCTCTTCGCTGCTGTTTCAAAATATTCATCTTTTTTATAGCAATTTTCCTTCCAGTTGATATCTAAAATGCAAGAACTATTCAAAATTAAATGCAATAATTTGATAATAATGTTTCGAATGTAAAACAGCAAAGATATGAAGCATGAAATAATGCTTCTTTTTGTTCTACTAAATCATTTCATCCAGAAACTACGCCACGCAAAAAGTAGTAAATATGAAATACGAAGAAACAAACGATGATAAATTCAAATTAAGAATAAACAAAAAGAAAAGAAAACTGAATTAATTTATTTACTTGATGTGCAGTTACTACAGTACCGGTAGAGCCTTCACCAATTTGTGTATAATTTGTCAAGTCCGCTCGAGGATCTCCTGGCAATACAACCAACTTCAGTGCAGCACGGAACTAAATTAATAATCGTTTTAAGTATTTTTAAGAAATAGAAAGCTAAATGATGACTATTTGAGCAATGATGATTATACATTCATATGCTATCCTCGTCTCAATTACATTCATATTCCTTCTATTCCGCAGTCCATGTTACTCACGAATCAAACAAGAATGACAAATCTTTTATTAAAAACGAAAATTTTGTTAAACAAGACTTCTGAAAGCTAGTTATTTGGCTAATGAAATTATCCATTTTTAAGAAGTTGGAAGAAACCAAAACTAATGAAAAAAAAAGAAAGTAAATAAAATGAATTTCAAAAAACCTCATCATGAGATAATCGATTATGAGAGTGATCTCGTTTCTGCCGTATATTATTATGCATCGTTGAATTATTAGGCCTATATGCTGACGCTTCATTATGTGTTAATGTCGATGGCCGAGGATTCATTTCAACTTGTAGCTAAAAAATTCAAAAAGTGAAATATAAAATCCAAAGAAAATTCATCAGTAATATTTCACTTCCGATAATAAAAACTATGAAAATATGGAACACACACACAAAAAGAAAAAAGAAGAAATTGTTCATCCAAGAAATTTGGTATGTGAACATCAGAAATTATTTCGAAACTATAAAAAAAGAACAAAATCAAATAGGCTTAAATGAAACAAAATTCCGCAGTTAATTATGACTAGTATTTTATAAAAAATATTAAGATGTGATAATTATTCATATCTTGCTATGTTCCATTTATGGTGAGTAAAAAACTGCTCATGAAAAAAAAAAAAAAAGTAAGTGCGTTAAGAAACCCACTCCACTACTGTAGAGGAGATTCGACTGCTGCAATAAAGCATAATTTTCCGGATATACTTCGACGGCATTTGCCAGATCATACTGTGTAGAATACGAAGAGTTCTGTTTCAAATGCACAGACTGTAGTAAGCCTTCAATGCAAAAAGCAACATAAAACATTGCTGAGAAAATTAAGAGTTAAATGAAAAGATACAATAGCCTACAAATATTTATATCCTTTCGAGTATGTAAGTATTTATTTAAAAGTCAGTTTCTTTCCTTTCTCCACCAATAATATTTGAAATCTCAAAGCTTTTGTCCCAACGTCTTACCATTGTGGCATGTTGAGGTTCGAGGTAAATTCATTTCTACTGGATTAGGTCTTTGAAAATTAACAGATAAATGCTGCTGAGCGTGACGCCTTGGTTGCATACTAAACAACGATTTAAATTAAGAAATTGAAACGAAAAATTAATACATATCATTTAGAAATGTAATAATTTGGATAATTACATTATATAAAACTACATATTTAATCACCATAGCTTCTTGAAGAACCGAACGAAACCTACGGGTGGTGAAGACTTGTCCATGCATCTGAGATAGGTAACGTCCGTGTGAAATCATTCCGCACATCATCTTGCAAATTATTATGATCTTTTCGTAATTTACTACTCATTGGCATACCACCGAAATTGATTTCTCTGAAGTACAGGCATTGTATAACACCAGCTGTAGTTATCTGTGTACAGTTATTTGCGTGTCATACATACATCTTGGCATACATGGAAATACTAGCATTTTAAAATCTAAATACTAAGCAAATGAATAGTGAGACTCACTCAAAAAAAGAAACTTGATTAATGAAATTCTGAATTTCATTTATTCTTGTATACAGCAAAAGTATTAAAAATTAGAGAACTGAAATCAATAAAATCTCCTAGGACAGTTTTTTTCCTTCTATTCTTCAGCTTTCACTTTGTTTTCCTTTATGAAATACTTCGAACTTTAAATTCAAGTTAAAATTAAAATACTTATGACACGACTGTGGCACATCTCCACGAACAACTGTCTTAATTTCTGCTATTTCCATCGGTGTTATACAACTGGGATCAACCATCGGTCGTGGACGACCACGTCTATTTGGAGTTATACCTATTATTGCTTGCCACTGCTAAAAAAAAGTTCAATTTTGCTACGAAACTAATAAACTAGGAAAAAGATATAGTTAAGAGAACTCTGATTATATATGTCCTTACCGAATTACTTTGCTGAGAAAATTACAAGAAACCAAGGCTTTTATACTTATCCTTTTCAAATCGTCTAGCAAAATTATAAACATTTAACTTCATTATTTGCCGTAAATTATTATATGAAAATATACTAAATACACAAACAAAAACTGGAGAAGAAAATGCCTTTAATAAGATTACAAAATTGGATTTGCTCCAACATGTTTCAAAAAATTTCCAAAGAAACCTTCGGTAAACCATGATACTGGCCAGTAACCGGATCAAATCCTGCATGATAACGGTGCTCAAAATTAGTTGGCATTGAAATATCCAATTTCTTTGTACGTCTTCGAATAGACATCGTCTGAAAAATGAAAATAAAACTGAAATCTAGCATTATACAATTCACTAAAACTTTTCAAAAATAAGAAAATCATGTAAATAATGACCTAACATACCAATACAATTTATCATTTATTTATGAAGAGTTTTCGAAATTGATTTTTTTTATATTCGTGCTTATCCTTTCTTTTCGCTAATGCAATACACCTGTCCTCCAGTAAAATCTCTTCGTTCACAATTATTTAAACTAAATCGATCATTTTATACCTGAAAATAGTGAAATAAAACTCAATAACTTATTACGTAGGAAATTAATTTTAACAATTAAAAACAAAATGACAATAATAAGCGTACTAGTTAACCCGCAATATGAAACATCTGGTAAGATGTATGAAGCGACACGTTTTCCCGTAATATTTTCATATACGTCTTTTTTGCGAGAGAAAAAAAAACAAAAAAAAGATATTATCGTTAGCAAATGATCCCACATTTTATTCACACCTAATTAATACGCGGAAACCCCGGGAACTCCCAGACTTGAAACCGTTAATCGCTAAATTTCTCACTGAAGACTGCGCGGAGCGATATGAAATACGCTGATCTCAATGACTTCTATGATTTTTCAGATAAACTTTGCAGTCAGTCCTCGTTTATAAGAGTACTTAGGAACTATCATCTAATTAATAAATAATTTTCTTTTTTCATCATTATATGAGTCAATTTATAGCATTTTATTAAGAATAAATAAAGTTTAACTTTGAAAAAATTTTTGTTTCGTTACAATTTTAAATTATTTTTTCATTTCTTACTTTTAATTTTTCATCAATGAAAAAGTATATAACAACGTTTTTCTTTTTATTTTTTCCAAAATCTTTTTTAGTTTTCTTTGTCCTTCGTTTTTTTTCCCTTCTTTTTTGATTTAGAATTTAGTTTTAAATTTTAAAATGTTTCGTTTCATTTTTTGGACTTTCATTTGTTGACAAAATTGTCTTTAAAACCAAAAAAACCTTTTCTTATTGATAAAATTATCATTGTTTATTTCAGTTAATATGAAAATAAAAAATTAATGTTTTATATTCGTTTGCTGCTGATAAAATCAATAAAATCAATCAGTTATCATTGAGGAATATTTTAATATTAGCAACTGAAAAGGTATTGAAAAATGAAATTATTTGATATGAAAACAAAAAATTGAATTGATTTGTTGATAAAGTTTTATAAATTTCCTCGTTTATTTTTAAAAAAATTAGTTTGCAAATTTGTTTTTATTCATAGGAATGACGTCTGCATATTTTGTTTTATTTCATTTCTCAGAGCTATTTAAAAATGCTTAAAAAAAAAGGAAAAAAAAGGTAGAGGAAATATTTCAATTACGTCAATGATATTAATTAAAATTTAAATTTAAAATGCTTTTCGATATTAATGAGTTTGTTTTTATTGAAATTTATGTAAAAAGACTATTGCTGGAACTTTTCTTTATTTTAATGTATGAAAAAAAAAAATAATTTAATAAAAATTGCAATAAACATTAAATTTAATAGACATAATATCAAATAACTTAGATCATAAAAATATAAAAAGCAATTAACTTAAAGTAAAATTTTAAAATTAATCTTTTTTTTTTTTGATTGGAATATACAAATTCGTTCTGTCCGACAATAAAATTAATGAAAAAACAATTGGGTTTTTTTCCTTTTTTTTTCAAAAGAAAAGGAAATGAATAGTAATACATTTGATAAATTTTCATTTCGAAAAGAAAAAATAAAAAACGAAAATTTTTTTATGCATAATAAACTTTTATTAATATTAATGATTAATGCAAAGAATTATAGTATAATATAGCAAAAGTTAATGGGAAAATATTAGAGACAACAAAAAAAAATTTTTTTTTTTAAATATATTAAGAAAAAGAAAGAGAAAGTAATATTAGTAATTATTAATGATTATTAGATGGAATGAAAAATTAATTATTAATAATTAATGATTGAAAATTAGCTATTAATAATTGATAATATTATTGTTAGATTAATGACGATGTCTGGAAAGAAAAATTTTCTAGCTTATTTGGTTTTATTTAAATGGTTTTATTTAAAATTCGATTTTTTAAAATTCGGTTCACAAAAAAAAAAAGGACAATTTCAAATTTTTATCTGTTTGATTACATTGATAATCAATTAAAATAAGCAAAGAATACAACAAACGGTATATAATATATCAAAAATGATTAATCTATAAATTTTGATAGCTAGAAAATCGAATATCAAAAAATAAAAAAAATTCATAAATAGAATATAATATTTTCAAAATTTAATTCCATCATTTAATGCACTGAAAATGATAGTTTGAGGAATTAAAGAATAAATTGGTGCGCAATTTAATCAAACAAAAACAAAAAAAAAAAGAAACGATTTTATTTTAAAATTTTGCTTGGATGTAACCCTAAGGTTGCTTACCTTAGGGCTAAACAACCATCCAATGATTTTCATCACAGAAATTGACAACACACCTTTTTAACTTTTTTTTTTTAGATAGTTGAAACTTGAAAAGAATTGTTGAATTGCTAATGAAACGAGAAATCGAGAACAATTTTTGATCAGCAATTTATATGTTTTAAAATAAAAGAAATGGGTTATTACCCATTTATTCTTTCACTTAACTTTATTGTCGGGTAAAACCGAATTTGTATATTACAATAAATAATGGTAGCAATAGGTGATAAAATATCAGTAAAGATATGATATTGAAATTTTAAATTTAAAAAGTTTTGGCACCAAAGCTTTTGAAAAACGAAATATATAAGTCAATTTCAAAAGAGAAAGTAAAGTAGAAGAAAGCAATTGATAATTCTGAAAAAAAAAATGATAAATTCTTATATCATTATGTTATCATAACTTTAAATTGTAAAGTTGAAACGATTAATGAATATTTTTGAAAAGTAAAGAAAGTACAAGGAAAAATAAACTGCGATGCAAGAAACAAAAATTAAGAAAAAGTTCAAAAAAAGATGTTCGCATTATACAAATGAAAAAATACCGCCACTTAACTATCCCTTTACCGCCACTTCAACTATCATTTTACCGCCACTTCAACTATCCTTTTACCGCCACCTCAACTATCCCTTTACCGCCACTTCAACTATCATTTTACCGCCACTTCAACTATCCTTTTACCGCCACCTCAACTATCCTTTTACCGCCACCTCAACTATCCTTTTACCGCCACTTCAACTATCCTTTTACCGCCAATCCGTGCAACTTTTCAGAGAAATTCTTCTTTCCGAATGAATAATAATGCATAATTTTCCGGATATTCGCTATTAATTGAGAAAAATTTATAAGAAAGCACCGACAAGCTCAAATTTCACGCAAAATTGATAGCAAATGACAAGGATTTGTTAATAAATTAACTGCTAATGCAGGAGAAATAGTCAGATTAAATCTAATACTCTATGATTTGAAATCCATAGCTATTAGTTTAAATGCTTTTAAAGTTTAGCTCACAACTCAAATTGATTAATTTACAACCAAAGGCAAATTTACGTAGTAGCGTTAAATATTAATTAAGGATCAATAAATGAAAAAGTTAAAGTTAATGTGAAATATTTTAATTATTGAAAATAATATCTGATTTCAGAATTGCAATTATTCAATAAATTTATTCAAAGCTAAAAATAAATTCTGCATTGGAATGAATAACAATTGTTACAATGAAATATGATAAAATAAAGGAAAGACAAAAATTTTGTTAAAACATTGATACTTTTTCTTAAATTAATTAAATATGAATTAATGATCGAACATTGAGAAAAATTTTACAAAATTTAGTGCGTAAACACTACTAATAATCAAATATTTTCAACTGTTAAAAACTTTTTTTCCTTTTTTTCTGAAAAATTTGCTGAAAAAAATCATTTGCGAATTTCTTTTTCCCACATTTGCTCGATAATTTCGATATGTTGTCGACCTGACAATGGCTGATTGATCTGTTTGTCACCCACTTTGTTAGATGGACAACATCCACAATGAAATAATCGTTTAATTGTCTTATCATGCATCTGTTCTACTCTGATAATGAATAAAATTGATATGGCATTGATAAATATTATTAGTGCAAAGCTTGTCATTTCCTGTAATTATGTGATAGTGTGACAATATGCTACAATGCAATGACAAATATTCTAAAACTTAAATTAAATTTAGTGAAAATAATATTTATTACATTAAAATTATTTTTTTGTAGCCTTATTGTAATTATTTTTGTAAAATAATATTTATTACACTAAAAATTATTTTTTGTATTTATTACATTAAAATTATTTTTTGTAGCCTTATTGTAATTATTTTTGTAAAATAATATTTATTACACTAAAAATTATTTTTTGTATTTATTACATTAAAATTATTTTTTTGTAGCCTTATTGTAATTATTTTTGTAAAATAATATTTATTACATTAAAAAATTATTTTTTAGTTTCGTAAAAAAACAATTCTTTTTAATATCATTTTTTTTCTCTTTTTTTTTCTTAGTATAAGTAACCATTGGCAATTATACGAAATATTATAATCCTCTAAATATTAGTGTAGAATATTTTACAAAATTTATACAAATGATAGAAACAATTTTTTTTTTTTAACTTTAACTGTAATTTGCAACAAAATTATTTACTTTGGAAATTGCAAAATTCAAGAAATTAGGTGGTGGAAAATATATCAACAATAGCGTTCCAGACAGATTGAAGAAGGAACTTATAATAAACATTGTTGTTGCTATAAACATTGTCTTCGATGTTTTCATATTTTCCCAGATTTGATATCGTGATGATAACGTATCAACTGATGCTCGCATTTGAAGACTAAATTAAAAGATATAACCCACTAAGTTAAAAATTCATAATTATAAACAAACTTTTATAATTATAAATAAAAAATCAAATTTTTTACTAATGTAAAATTCTTTCTTTCTTATGTTGATTAGGTAATAGTTTAGATTACAATTATTTCAATTTTTTTTTTTTTTTAA